GAACATATGCTACAAACAGTTCGGTATCGACATTGTGAGAGCGACAGGCGCGGGACCCAGACCTGGAAGTGGCCGCTCCTCAAACAAGCACCAGAAGCCTCTCCCATCAAACAAAAACTGGTTCAGCAAGAGCGCGGAGAAACTGTTCCAAACCGGGCCCGTTTTCCACGGAGAACAACTCCTCGGCCACTACGATTGATGCCGAGTGGTCCACTGTCGCCAACAAACCAGGGGCACAAGTCGATCCAATTCGATGCATCTTTCTCCGGCGTAGCTTACCTAGCCCGGCACACACCCTAGCCGCAATCAACCAGCCAATAGAAGGAGCCGCCGCGGAAATCGAAGCGAAGGTGCAGTTTATGGCAAGGGAAATGAGAAGGCAGTTGCGCCTGCCCAGACGGTCTGCAGCGCTTCCCGCCAGAATTCCTCCGACGAGCTTCCCCACGAAGACTGCGGCAGTGAGGAGCTCTTCAGGACCGCGCGAAACAACGCAAGGAAGTCATCGTCAGTTGAGAAACACTATCCCTCTTGCGGAAGAACCAACGTGGCGTTGCCGTGGCGTGTTCTACGACCCCCGCGCCTCCCATAAACGGAATGATCATGTTCTTGCGCTGGTTAAGTACATCTACTAGACCCACAGGTACATAGTAGCCGCACCTTTCTGAGTGCTGTTGAGAGAGCTCCCGTCCTCGTTTTTGAAGGTCCTCAAGATGTAGCCTGCGCTCACGATTTCGACAGCATCCGCCGCATTCCCCAGCGCCAACGGCCTGTCAAAACGGATTCGTGTGTTTGTGTTTAAGGGGGGGGTTGGGGGGCGAAACCTACAGTTGTGATTGGTCAATACTGTGGTCAATTATTAGGGCAAACACGACGAGACTCTGCTACCCGCAAAAGCGGGAACTGACTATCGCGTGAAGAAGACACAATGGCGAAATCAATTCCAAGTAGAGATCACAAGAGATACTAACAAGATCTCCATCGGTCAATGCTTTCGCAAATTGTTGAATAAAAGTATGACGTTCAAATCCCGGTGCTCGTGCAGGTCTGTAATAAATAGGCGGGACTGCCAAGTGTGGGTGCACGGCGCGTGTGGGTCCCCCCTTGGGTGCATCGAACAACTTTAAAGGGTCTACTCAGCGTGTGTTTTTTCGACGGACACTTTTTCACACATGTGGCAGATCCTGAGCTACATAGCTCAACTAGTCCTACAGATCACCATGGAGCAGGCATACCCAGATCACCTATGTCCTTCAGATCACCATCGATCAACCATACCCCGATCACCTATGTCTTTCAGATCGCCTCTCACAAACATACCCCGATCAACAATATCCTTCAGATCACCCAAGAGCGCACAAAATGTTTTCTTCCGACACCTACCCGACAAAACTTTATTTTGGACCTCGCCGGGGGCGTGGGTGGGTACGAAGCCCCCCCCCCCCCCCTCCCCCCAACGCCATGCTATTTCCTGAATAAACATGCCCATACTAAATCCTACTGTACATATCAAGGGGGCACATTTCATGGACGGGCGAAGTACAATCCACGTGGCCCCTGGCGAGCTTGCGTGCACCGCAGTCACGGTACCGTCCGTAGCAGCGGAGAGAGAGAGAGAGAGAGAGAGAGAGAGAGAGAGAGAGAGAGCTTGGGAAAGAGTGGTCACGATGAGCACAGTCTCCATTGGGAGTGCATCCCTATCAACGACCCCGTCGACAAGACGGCCGTTCGGCTGTCAGAGCCCCCGTCACACGCCGAAAGGTCCCACACCAGAACAGTACGGATGGTTAAGCCCCCCTAGCACGCCGTAAGGTCTCGCCGGGTGCGAGGAGGGTTGATACAGTTACAGTAGTATAGACGACGAGTCACTTTCAGACGAGTCGTCAGGAGTCGGTTGAGGACGAGAGCTCCGAGTCGGAGGGGGACTTCGAGGAGGAGAAGGCGGCGTATAGGGAGGGAAAAGAGGAAGAGGAGGAGGAAGGAGGAGGAGGAGATGGGGGAAGAGGAGCAGGAGGAGGAGGAGAAGGGAGGGCGAAGGCGCTCGATGCGAGATCGCTCGAAGAAACGGTTGTTTAGTCTTCTTGTTGAGGGAGGTGAAGGGGCTGGGGAGTAAATAAGTACAACGCCAACTGCAATTAAGGACGCCGTTGCACGTGGCGAAGGTTTTGCCACCACCGTAGGCTCATCGACAGCCCCTCTCCGGAATGTTGCCGGCTTGAGTAATAAGCTTGGGTTGATGATGTTTCGACGCTTTTTTTTGGGTGTCCTTTGGTGTTGGTGTGTTTGCTTGTTTGTGTTTTTTCGCCATATTCGCCCAAGGTCAAATGTCGCGGACTTCTCGCAGAAGCATTGAGAAGTTCTGAGTTACGTCAGCTTCGGGAGTTGTCCCCAAGCACTGTACTTCAAGACTTGAAAACCAACCAGAAGTGTCCCCAGCCTATCACAGCTATAATCCACGTACGAAGTAGCAATCTTCTTCCGGAGCCGGATGTACACACCCAATATTTATTATCTCAAACTTATGTATGAGGTATCAAACACCTGGCAACAAGGTCCTTTGTGCACGTATGTTGTTGTGTTGTTGTTGTTGTTGTTGTTGTTGTTGTTGTTGTTGTTGTTGTTGTCGTTGTCTTCACATTAAAAACCGTCCCGTTCTCTCTGCCCAGTACCTTCTGCTGTCCGTACTTGACGGGGTCTATGGTCACAGGCTAACTTGTCCTAAAAACGGTATGCGAAAATGAAATGGACCCGAAGGGTCCGCAAGCCAATCGAAGTCAACGACAGATAGTCTGGGTCATTCCGCTCGCCTCTACACGCTATGCGAGGTAACCCTAGATTGGAAAAATAAAGAAAGGAAAAAGAAAGAAAGAGAATGAGAAAGAGGAACAGAAAAAGAAGAGAGTAGATGGAGAGAAGGGAAAGAGAAGGAGAAAGACAGACAGAAAAAGACACACGCCGTAGCGACAAACAACAAACAAACAAACAAACAGAACAACACAAGACAGCACAATTCAACACAACACAAAGCGGGCCGCCCGAGCCAGCACAACCACGTCATCGTTCGCGGGGGGTTGTTGCCATGGTGCAGTGCCGGGGGGGGGGGGGGGGGGGGAATCAGTCAAGCAAGGGGTTCAATCCGGCACAGTATTTCCGCGCCTCTCGGTCCGTCTCTTCGCGTTTCCTGTCTTCCCTCGCTGTCTCGTCCGCCTGCTGTACCCCTCCCGCCCCCGTGGTTGTGCCGTGTCCGTGTTGTTGCCGGACTTCTTGTTTCGTTTGAGCGCTCGTTGTCGGCTAGCCTCCTCTTCCTTCTTGTGCCAGGAGGTCATTAACCTCTTAGCTCCCTGCAGTACCCCTGTATGCCACGGTACCCCCCGGTCCACGTTCGCTTCTTCCATCCAACTTGTTTCCAGGACTCCGAAGAAGCATGGCTCGGTGTCCGTAGATGCGTGCTCTGCTTTGAACATCTTGAGGTCGTCCTTCAGCCACATCTGCCAGTTTTGCTCCGGTGTCCCCCTGCCTGGGCCCTCTCCCCCCACCAGCTCGCCAAGCATCAACCGTTTCGGGAGTCGTCCGTTCGGCTGCCTTGCCAGTGCTCCAGCGAACAGCAGGCGCCGTTGCCGAATAGTGGTTTCCACGCTCTGGCATCCTACCCTCTTCAGGATCTGGGCGTAGGAAAGCCATAAACACCAGCACACACAAGCACACGCAATGGAGAGGGAGAAAGCCAACATAGCCTGTACAACAATGGATCACGAAAAAATAAAAACCTCCTTCGTACCCCTCCCGGGGGGGGGGGGTCGGGTAGGTACTGGAAATTGTTTTTTTGTGCGCCCTTGGATCACCTCTGACAACTACCCCGATCACCTATGTCCTTCAGATCACCTCTGGCAGGCCCTCAACATACTAGGTCACTCTACCAAGTAAGTCTACTAAGCTGCTAGGTTGCTGTGCACCGCTAGTGCTAGGTTGCTGTACGGTGGAAAGCTAGGCTGCTGTACCGTTAGCGTTCTAGGTTGCTGACGTACCGTTAGCGCTAGGGCAAGCCGCGGCGCAAGAGGAAGTAAGGGCTAAGTTGCTGTGCACCGTTAGCGCTAGGTTGCTGTACGGTGAAAAGCTTGGTGCTGTGCATGGGCTGCACCTACGCAAGGAATGTTCCGAGAACAATTATTTTTCCGATCGTCAAGAATTGCGTTCGACCAAGTCGTTAGCACTACTGGAGGGAGGGAGACTGAAACATACTCCGGATCACCTATGTCTTTCAAATCACTTCGGGAAAACATAAACATACCCCGATCGCTATGTCTTTCAGATCACCTCTGGCAAACTACCCCGATCACCAATGTCCTTCAGATCACCATGGAGCGCACAAACCCCGATCATCTCTGTCCTTCAGATCACCATGGAGCGAACATACCCCGATCATCTCCGTCCTTCAGATCACCTCGGAAAGACCTACATCGATCATTGTATGTCCTACCGATCAACAGGGACATACTCAAAAGAGCTAACTCGATCTGTAGGGATCTGATCTGTCCTAAATGTATGTGCCCACGTTTTCTGTTGTATTCTTGTCCCTTACCTAGATCATTCAATGTAAGTTTTGGATTAGGTTGAGTGAGGCCTCCTGCACCGACAGGAGGGCCTCGCCGTGAAGAAACTCTTCGGGCTGGACAGACAGCCTAGCACGGGCAAGCCACGTTAACTTGGAGTACGACGTCATACCCCAAAGAAAACTCGCACGCGAACCAACGGGCGCAGGTGTCAGCAAGAAACATTTGAGTGTGTGCATTTTTTTTTTTCGAGAACTAACGTACAATGTTCCGCAAAAATCAGTGATGCATGCCCGGACATAAGGGGTACTGTTAACGCAACGAACAAAAATGCATTTTGTCACGGAACGGTGAAAAGAAGATCCGATTATTTTTCGCTTGTTCTATTCGTGATGTCATCGCGAAAAGTACGTTTCCTTCCCTGAATACACGTTTTGCTCGACACACAACAGGTTGACATGGTATTGCTCACCATAGAGCAGCGGTGAAAGCGCAATGAGCAGCACCCGACACAGAGGATAACACACTTAGAAAGATCCCGTCCACCTGGCCTGCTGTTTTCAGTTTTCAGCAACAACAGGCGCAGGGCAGAGTGTCGCCACCTGGGTGTTGCTTGCGATTTCTTCAGTTTGCCAGCTCATTTTTCACGGTTGCGACTCCCATCTTTGACCACCACCTGCCCAAAGGTAGACGAGCTCAACAATCATAGGGCGGCAGCCGCGCTGACGGCCAGCATCATATAGATGGCCAATCCGAAAGAATTAGCGTGTCGGAGGCCCTGTTGCTCGACTGCTGCGTGGTGCCGTGGATTGATGTTGATGCGTCCGACCAAAAACGTATCATGTCGCCGCATTTTTTCCAACGGCATTTGGGTGAGGTGGCACACGTCTCTCACACACTATTGAGCAGCACCCAAGCACCCAATACCCACGAAGCAGCACGGCGCCGGGAGATGGTATCATATAGACAGCCAAACCGAAGGAATCAGCGCGTTGGGGGTCTTGGCGCTGCTGCTGTACTCGTTCTACTGTTTCCGTGTTTGCTATGTGTGATTGAAAAAAATCCCCCAGCACCAACACCAGCAGTTGAAGACGAGAGCACCACGCAATGCCTAGTTTTGGGCCAAGAACGGACTGAACGCCGCTTCTGCCGCTTGTCCATCTCCACAACAGACCTGGACGTGAGTCTGGCAGGTCTTTCTAGCGTTCTCAGTGATGTTACAGCGCCCGCGGTGCGCTTGTCCGATGCTTCTGTCAAAAACACGGATCCGTGAAAGTAGCAAGCCCCAAAAAATCCCCCGGCTCCTTCTTTTCACGTTTTCGGGTAAAAACGCCTCCATACATGTTCAAGAAAACACGCTTCCGTGGAATATTCCGTGTTTTTTTGTCGTTAATAATACCCCTATAAGACCACCATGGTTGCAGTGTCCACGTCAAGAATACCGCCAAACACCATCCTGCACGCGGCACACGGACGGACACCGATATGGCGGTGTAGACAAGACGGTTAGACTATAGTGTGGCGAGACCTACCAGCGTAGTCTATAGACTATATTTCGAAGGGCGTGAAGGAGGAACACTCGCACCACAAAGATTCGCACACAATTGTGCACTTTTTTTTTTTTTTCGTTGGCACGAAGCGGGCATCACACCTCTGGTTTGTCGTGTGCCCAGTGAGCAGCGCTGTTGTTGGAATAGGCGGCACTCAGATGTGGGCACTCCCCCCAATCGCAAAAGCACGTCCTCTTACAACGAGCCCTGATCGCTCTCAACTCATGCGGTTGCGGTCAAAGATCCCCCCAAGGTCCAACGTAGCCCCCCCGCCGTGCCCGGCACCAGCGCGGTGTAGCACGGCGAAGCATAGGCCGCGATGGTCGCGTCCACGAACGTGGCCGTCTGGCGGTCAGGTTGAGGAGTGGAGGTAAAAGCGGGCCCACCGGTGAGCTCGCAGCCGCTGTGGGGCCGAGAGAGCCACCGCCAAGCCGTCGCCGAAGCCGCCCGGCGGAACGCCGCGTGTTGAGAGGCGGTCTGTTACTCTCTCAAGTATTTCCTGCCTCCTCGATAGCTCCGGCGTATTTCGGGAGAGAGAAAGGGGACTGAACAAGGTAGAGTCATTTTCCAACCCTTCATGGGATATCTGACTCTTCCTGATTTCGGTCCGAAATCTGGATTCGTCTCAAATCCGAGATTACGGCTGTATTACCATTTGGCGGTATTTCTTTTGGAGGTAGGTGTTAAAATGTCCTTTTTGGTGGCAACGACTTTGGCGGAGGCGGCAAAAAACAAAAGGGCAGTAATTTTTCGGCGGTATTGCCATATGGCGGTAATTGTTTTGGCGGTCGGCGGTAACACCTAATAACGGCGGTAAAACTGCTGTGTACCGGTACTGCCCACCACGGCGGTATTTTGACGGCGGTAAAACTACCGAGTAAACCCTTGAACTGTTTCTGAGACTTCATCGTACGCAGGTTGACCGACTGCGACCTACGCAGTTTGTCACTCAATGTGCAAAGATTTGCAGTCGTCCGCAGTATATTTTGCGTGAAAGTGCATGGTTCGAGCTTGATAATTTAGTATGACTCGGGCTTCATTGTGCGCATGGTTGACTGCGAACACTACACCGGGAAATGAATCCTTCGTGTGTTGGCTTGTTGGCTTCTTGTGTGTACCGCAAGGTTGCGAGTGACCGCACGGTCCGCAGTCATCGCATGGTCCGGAGTCGTCTCACAGGGGTGCGATGCAAATCAAATGACAAGAATGTTTGAAAATCGAACGCACGGGGGTGCGGTGACCCGCAACCTTATTATTATACATATGTATGTATATCATATATATATGCGTTCGTGAGAAAGTGAAAATGTCATTCCATTGGCACAGAGATATGCACAGCGCGCAGTATGATTCGCGTGTTCGCGTGCACATGTCCACATGGTTCGGTCGATAATGTTCACCCAGACTTAATTGTGCGCATGGTTGACTGCGAACTACCAGGAAATTAAACCTTTCTTTGTGCGTTGGATTGTTGTTGTGTGTACGTTCGCGTGAGAAAAGTCAATATAGATGAAAAACTGGCGCGCGCGAGCGAGTACACCACACACATCTGACTAACGGGTGATCATGTCGCATATTTGTGGATTGGGATGGGTGACTTCGAGGGTTGTTTGTACATAATACATACATGCTCTATTCCTTGCGCGTGGAAACTACGACAAGACGAATACTGTTGTTCACTATACACTACATACAGCAGTACATATTATCTTGCGCGAAGGGTCGACTGCGACAGACAGACTTGGTTGCACGCATGGTTGGTGAGAGACCATCAAGTAGATAGACTACAATCAACCATGCGTGCCCACGCGGATTGATTGTGGACTGTATTATCGGCACAAACAGAGGGGGGGCAACAGTTGTGCCTCGAGGTGCCACAGAGACAGAGACAGACGTGCGTCAAATAAATGTGGGCGGGTAATTAAATTGGGGTAATCATTCGATATTTTGACTGGTGGTGGTGGTGGTGCGAGAGAGAGAGTACACCACACACAATAATAACAAAAAAAAAACACCTAGCTAGCGGGTTGCGATGGCGCATGGATGGGTGTGGGGTCTGGTTGGGTCGTACGTAACCGACCGGTGGCTGGCGTGTGTAGTGTGTGTAGTGTGTTGATCGAACAAATCAAATTGTGATACTACATGTAGAAGTAGTAACTGTATAATGATATAATAAGGCCCTTCAGATTCGGTTCAAGCAAAAAAAAAGCAGTAAGTAGTTTGTTCAGAAAATGCAGTCCACGAACGAACAGTCAACCTTCTTTGTTGAACTTTGGCCTCCTAGATAGAGAAGTTGGGTTTTATTTCATTTTCATGACGCACGGTAGTAGGTAATTGATTTCTTCGCAGCAGTAGTTTCCCGCGTATGGTCGGAACTAACAAACTGTATTATTACCGTTCCCCAAAATCGTGTGTTGTACAAGTTTACCTCCCTCTCCCTCCAAAAAGCAAACCACTTCCAACAAAAAAAACTGGTCTGTCTGTCTGCGAGGAGAGCACTCACTAATTTAATCATCACTTCTTCATCATCTCTCTTCTTCAATACATACATACATACTTACTTTTATTATTCCTGGACCTTAACATTTTCGGGATTTTTTTCTCTCGTGAGACGGCATCAATATAATTGTAATACCTGTTGTAAGCCCGCTGGCAAAGAGAAAAAGGGCGCATGCGTATGTACGTACACATAAAGTTACACATACATGTAGTAGTCAGTTAAATGTAGTTAGTTGCGGTAAAATAAAATCAATCGTGTCTTCATCTCGTGCAAAACACTCATCATCGCTCACTCACAGTAGTAGTACTGACGCCCGAAATTTCCATCCACAAGAAGAGTTCACCAACAAGGCATCGACGTATGAAGGATCCAGGTTCGCCGACAGAGGATCCCACATGGCTGCCGGTTCAGCCTTCATTTCTAAAGCAGTGACCGGCGTGCAATATAATGTTGTCGTGAGGTGTGCGCGACGATGGTCCTCTGGGTGTGAGTGCTGGTTGGATGTTCCTGCCAAAAGTTCATCATGTATGTGTGCAATGTTCTTTGAGAGGATGCAGAGTTCCTCTGATACGGACAACTGCAATTGCAACTGGAGGAGATAACGCTGCTTGTTTGGAACACCCTGTGACGTACGTAACAGCAACAGCTTTTTGGACCAGAGGCAGGAGTCGACGAGTCGCTCGCTCCGCTTGCACCCCAAGCACACGAAAGGGTCGGAGAGAGAAAACGCGCTTCTTGACTTCGAAGGAGCAGGAGCGGGCGTGCACTTATCCCTCCTTACCGGAGCTAGGAAAAACCTGTGGGAGCCTGGAGCGCTTGCATCCAGCACATCGAGAGATGACGGACAGATTACGTCGGAGTGGGGGGATTTTCCTCACGGCGACTGGAGCGGTGCTTCTCTGTGGCGTCGTAACGGCTGAAAACTGCTGTATCACACCCTTCTCCTATTTCGACTGTACTGGGTGAGTCTGTGCGTGAGCAGCCCCTCTGCGACTGGTGTGAGTGTGGGTGTTCATCCGGGCGAGGCGTCAGTGGGTGTCACCCGTGTTTTTGGTTGTAGCTGCATGATCGGGTTGTTGTGTCACGCTTTTTTTGTGCCTTGAGCGCTTTGCAGACGCTGTTACATGCAGCATTCCTGCTGTAGATATGCAACCCCCGGAGCTTTCTTAGAGAGGATCCCGCTTGAGGCCCCCGCTGCAAGCAAGAGTTTGAAGGGGAAACAATGCCAGCAAGATAAGCTAATAGTGAAGATTGCAATTACGCCGCTTATCCAGTGCATCAGAAGTGCACCTGTAGAGTTCCTACTGCTGTACTCTGTATTAAGGAAAAATAAATACACACACAGAAAGACTACCCATTCGAGATATACCCACAGTCAAATGGGATGTGGTGGAGTCTGTATGATAGCATCAACAACATGTGACTTTGCTGTTCAGAATTCGGAGTATGTCGTACGCTTGCTTGCTGGTATCCATAGTTTTCGAGTGCTTTTGGCCGGAGATTTTTCTTGGCTCTTTCCGGCCCTTGTCGGCTGGCGTTCTGGAAAACTGAAAACGGTGCGCGTGTCCCGTCTGGTTAACTTTATAAACTACAGCAAGTTGCTTGTATGAGTGTTGCGCGTCGCCGCGCACCCTGCATTGTCGAATGGGTTCGTCGCCGACTACGACGAAGACTCGGCTACTACTGTAGCCCTAGTACGATCGGACGTGTAAGGAAGCCAGCAGATGACATCATCGAGTGCAATACACCGAAATGTTGTTGAAAGAAACGGAGATCTGCAACGAATCACAGCACTCGGTCACAACACTGCAAGTATCTCATGGCGTGAGGTGCGCATGGTAGGATACACCTTGCACCAATGCCAAAGCCAAATGGCAAATGCCGGGGGCAATTCTCACTATTGATGGTATTATTATTATAGTATAGGATTTGATGGGGATGTCCTCCCTCCTTGTGACCGTTCTTAAACTCCTCCCAACAACCAACCCTGTTGGACGTTCATGCAGGACTGGCCACCTAGCCTCTCCAGGGAAGCTGTACACGTGTGTTGATGTCTCGGAGGCGTCGTCGTGCATGAGCTGCCTGCGGAATGAGGAGTATAGGTGAGAGCCGTTGTGCCATGCGGTGTGGTGCCGCGTTTGTAGACGATGTTGACCGATTTCTAGTCTCCTTGAAGTGTTCATTGTTTGCTGTGATCGTCCCTCGTGGTGCTGTAATAGATTTCTGTATACCGGTGGGCATACGTGTGCTACAGCGAAAGAGCGACGAAATACCGGCCGGAGCTGGCTCACCCACCGCCATGGCGTCGCTGTGCTGGCGAGCGCCGCTGTAAGAACAGCGTTGCTTTTGCTTTGGTATACGATGTTTGCGAACAAGCGTGATGGCCGCAATCCGGCAAGAGTTTCATGAATACGGACTACTTGGATATTTTTGGAGGCAGGAAACATGCCCCTAATGTGCTTACCCTATAAACCCCTGATACTGCAGGGTGGGTATAGCGGCGGGGTACGACTCAGTTCCTTGCAGTATTCTATCTGCGATGCTCTGCGATATTAAAACGCTGTAAAGCCCGGCCCACACAGCAAGGGTGCATCATTTGTAGTGCAACTAAATAGGTACAGCAGAGCGTGCGACGGGCGCGACGGGGAGGTGCTTTTGGTTCGACCGGGAGAGGCGGCCCTTTCCTATTGCTTTTTTCGTTGATTCCACGCACTGGCAAAGAACCAAAACATGAAGCATTTCCCCCTCTCGCAAATAGAATGGGCAATAGACTCAAATGAATACCCATACATACCCATACCGGGAAGAGGCATGCTTCTTCATGTTTCTGGCGACAAGAAAATCAGAAGGTCGCAGAGCACCAACAGGATCCTAGACGTAATAGCATCGTGGCATAGCGACAGATAGACGCCGCAGGCTCACATCTTACCGGCCACATTCAATCGTCTCAACCCTGCCGATTTCCCCACGGAGTGACAGCAAGCAGTCCACATCATTTTCACCCCAAGTAACAGAAGGCGGTGGCATCAATTTGACGCATAAGAGACTTAGCAGCAATGACAGCAGGCATGCGGCTTTGTCGCAGTTCACATTTGTTTTCGAAGACAGCAGCGCGGCGTAAGCAACCTGATTAATCGATCCCGGTCAACCATGCTGAGAACGCACAGCAGTAGACGCTCACGCCCTCGAAGAGTTCTCTCGATCTATGTCCAAAGGGGGTGGACGACAGTTGGATGTTTGTTTTTATTATTAGCATCGACCGCGCTAACCGACTGACCAATGAAAAGACGTCAGTCTCATTGCGGTTGAAAACACAAAACACTTCGAAAATGGCTAGAACCCCGTGAGGGGGCGTCATGGGGGAGGTTTAGCTGTTCTCCGGATGAAACACAGAAACGGACGGCATCAACAGAGGAACTCTGCACGTGTCTACCAAGGCACTCGAGTTCGTTTTGGAATGCTTTCACCATCCTCCTCCATGCCTTCACTACCATCGCTTTCATCGCCACTGCTACAGTATTTTGCGGCAGTTCTTCTCTGACCGTGCGTCGTTTGTTGTGAGGAAGGTCACCTTGCTCTCTTCCACTCCATGCTTCCCTCCCCCATTAGTGTTTTGGTCGTTCCCTTATCCTCCCGTTTCCTTTCCTCCTTCTTCGTTCGTTACCAAATGAATTCCATTGCCACGATCACCGTTGTTGTCCGAACTACTGAAGTCCCAACCTGTTGGCTTTGGTGGAATTTGGCCAATCGTGTATGTGTGTGTGATGTCAGCTCTGTTTCTGCTGTCGTTTGAACCGCGCGTGAGAGATCTCCGCTTTGTGTTGCCCCTTGAGCTCGACTCCCGGGTTAAGGGTGAAGCATCTGCTACGAGTTTTGGGGACAAATACCTGTATAGCACGGTCATCTATTGTCGGAGCGCGACCAAACGTTGTGACAAAGAGTACGCCAATTTTTCTCCGCCTCAGAAACCAACAGATCGTAAATCGGTGCTCTGTTGTAGGTCTTGTTTGGGTCGAAAAGGCGCATGATCTAGGCTTCCCCGTGAGAAGTCCAGGCCCCTGTATCGCGCTAGTAGAGGCCGGTACTTAGAGCTTCCTGGAATGAGCGAAATGCAGGCAGCTTTGCCGCTTCGCGGCTCATTTTATCTAGATGAGAAGTTGATTCGGTTGCATGCCGGGAGGACGTATGATTTCTCGGGATTCTGTACCTGTTCATGATATGCTTACGGAGGTGCGAACTGCGTGTTAGCCACCCCTCCCATGGGCATATTCTTCGCATCGCTCGCCTTTTTATGCCTTTGTAATGTCACGGGCAGCTGAAGATGCCTGTTGATGCCACCTTCTTGCTTGCTGGCTGGTTGTTTCCATGCTTCCGCCGCCATGTGCGAGCCGAAACGTTCTCTTCCGTTGGTTGTTGTGCTGCTTGTCCAGTTTAGTGTTCGAAATGTCACCTCACAATGGTTGGTTGTTTTTCATCACGATTGCCAGAAAGAGGGCGAAAGACGGTCCGTCTCGCATTGCCAACTCGACAAGAACGTGCCCCGCCCTTCCCTCTCTCGTTGCATGATTGCCGTGTGTTTCAGCGATGTTTCCTGCGACACCTGCTGCTCCATCGAAGATCTGGATTGCACGAAGATTGACTCCGAGTGGGACTTCTACGCGTCGACCCTCTTCTTCATTTGCCTCTGCTGCTGCTTCACGGCGCTGTGCGGTTTCACGGAAGTCCGCCGAAAAAAGAAAGGGATATCGTTCGCGCAGGCGTGGTCGGTGCCGCAAGCCATGCCAATCCTTCGGACGTGGCCGAGAAGATCAGCCTCCAACTCTGACATGAGCCAGGCAGGCGGCGAAGTCGGCACGCAGTGGGCCGCTCTGTCGGACGACGAGGAGGACTTGAAACGGTATCCCGTGGCAGGCCTTGTGGATGATTCCGGCATGGCCTTCGGCTTCGTAACCACCCTGCCGCAGACGCTCTTAAGCTCGGTAGCGACCTCGCTCGGGCAGACGGGCTCGCCGTCCCCACCGTCACCTCAGGAGCCCGAGCTAACCGTGTGGATATCAAGGGAAAACGAAGGGGCATCCGCATCGGCGCCAGCTCACCATGGCATTGGCGGCGGCGGCGGTAGTGCTGTGACTGGGGTGGAGGCCAACAGATCAGAGGAATCCAGCAGGGGGAGCAGCGGGGTGACAAGGGGAGCAGGGGGGAGGCAACAACGGGCGGTGGTGGTCGGGAACGATTTGGAAGAGCCCTTGATGTTGGACGGAGTTGGAACGGGACCTGGAAGAGGGGGAGGGGCGGCGGGAGGCACAGAGAGACGGCAAACAGACGGAGAAACTAGCGGCCGCGCGGCTGCGACAACAGGCACATGAAATAGCGACGAAGGGTAATCCGTTTTCGTAGGTTGTGTCGATGATCCCGCATGCATTTACTATCGTGCAGGAGAGCTAGTGTTGAGCGTTGGTTAGATGACCAGGTTAAGGGTGAAATGCCGTTCATGTTAGATTATTATGTTTGCGTTTTTGGAGAAACATCTGCTGTGCACGTAGTCTCCTCTGTTAGTATCATCGTTCGAGTGCGCATGACAGGTGTTGGCGAACCCAGGTCTGCAACGTGTAGAAGTTGTTACACGGATTGGCCGCGTCGGGGCTACCAGTTTCCGTCGAGCCCGCGTTCTAGCTTTTCATTGCGGGATAGATGGTCCCCTGTTGGACTAGATAGGATTGTCAGATTGTTTTTAACCTGGCAGGTGCACTCTTGTTGGCACCGGGGCTAAGAAACAGAGTCGGTCGCTGCTTCGGACTTGGAACTGTTGTGTCGGGAAGCGCAATGTTTGCCCTTCGTCTTGCCCCTTGCTGTTGGTAGAGAAGTATCCCTCGGTGCTGTTGTATTTCGGTAGGTACTGCGTTGCTTAAATTCAGTTCCCAAGCTTGGGTCTCTGTCGACCTTTTTTTTTCCGATCTGTCTGTGTCATTTTTATTCCCATACCCCTCCCCTTGACCTATCGGGTCTCAAAAACCGATCTCAGCCCACACTGTGAACCTCCGAGAACTACCAGCAATTATGTGTAGCTGAGACGATTTCAAGACCTCTATACGCAGTTAGTTGCTACACGTGAAAAAAATCCAGACACATGGGCACATGGGCACCCCGCCCCCCCCCGGCGGGAGGGCAATTTCGGCATCTTGTCATATATAGGAATTAGTATAGGAGGCTTCGTTCACGAAAATATGTCATTGACCCCCCTACTTCAGAGTTTTTTCTATCCGCGGTGCCCCTCACGCAAATATATAGAAATTAGAGTCCCTTCCCCATTTAGTCATACGCGGCGGCTGTCATCCGTACGAAAGGAAGTAAGCACGAGATGCCGAACACCCTTACTTAGCAGAATGCAGCGCACCCTTCATGCGACTCGCCGAATGCCTCACGGCGCTTCACGCTTGGTGATGTGAGAGCCTGGTCCGGCGAGAACCCGGCGTGCTCCGTCCCGGCTTTGTAGGGATGCGAGGTCAATGGTCTAACGACTACGGCGTGCACGACTATGAGTACACCCCCCCCCCCCCCCCGGACCCCCGGTTTTCGAGTAGTGGGCCTATGTGGGTGTCTTGAATTGTTTTTCACGTTGTTGACCCTTGCTTTCACTGTTGTTTGAGCGGCTATATCGCTTTTGTTGTGTGGCGCGATAACAGGACCCTGCGTTATTGGCACGGTGGAACAGGTTGACTTGTTGTCGAGGGTCCTTTCCTAAAACACTCATCATCATTTCCACACCCCGTCATGCAGCACACATCATGCAGCGCCCGTTCTGCTTCCCACTGTTGCGCTGCACAATGCTCTCTAGCGTGTTGTGTTTGCTAGAGGAATCTCGCACATGAACCACAAGCAGCTCTGTGTAGCCGAGATGATTGCACGACCTCTTCCGAAGGGAGCGAGCAGCTTCTACCAAGACTCAGTATTCCAGAGATAATATGCTTTGCACACCAGACCAGTGTCCTGATGATATATGGGATAGCACGGTGCAGCCAATATGTCATACCGGTGCTGTTGTTGGCTGTGGTTACCGACTAACCCTAACCCTAACCCTATAAATATTACCGTGTGGTGACCAATTACCGCACAACGAATACCGTGAGGGCCAGTTCCGGTTCAAAAAACGTATCACCATGCCGTACGGTGTTGGTTGGTTACCGTACATATCACCATGTGACCAATTACCGCACAAAAATTACCGTGCGTGGTGGCCATGAGAGTCACCGAAAAAACAAACAAATTTCCGTACTTTACAGTTTTGGCTGCCTGGTTTCCGCATAAACGTTTCCGTGGTGACCAATTCCGTACAACTACCGTGCGTGGTGGCTATCAGCTGCCTGCCGTAAAAACTAAAAACAAACGTAATACCGTGCCCTACGATGTTGGCTGGTTACCGGATGTATGTGACACAAAAAGAAGAGCACACACACCCTGGTGATAATATTTTGGAGTTTGAAAAAATTTATCACCCCGGGTGTGCTTTCCTGGCATGGGTGCGTGTGCTATCTTGTGTGTCACCGGTGTGATAAACAGTGCACGTTGACAGAGCCCGCAATGAGGGGGTGTGAAAAGTCAAGGGGGTCTGATAAAAAGGGGTTGTGATAACAACACACACACGTACGTATAGTTTATATCCTGCTCCACCATTCCTTGATCTGCTATTATTGTGCGGTCCTCAACCAACCGACGATGTTGTGCGGGCCTCGGCGGACGCTGTTGAGCGGACTTTGGCAGCACTTGCGGTGGCAGGTGCTGATGGAGTCTCATCGTTTAGCTTGGCGGGTTGCTTCGAGAAAAATGACGTGATCGCCCGTGGAGGCGCCGGCGCAGACCTTTGATGGCACCGTCTGAGCCACACGTCACTTCCAGCAGGGTTGTTTCCAAGAGGGTGTCCACCTCTTCCACCTCCGTTTTGTCCTTCGTTGTGTGCACACCAGCTGTTGACCTCGTGTGTGTGCACACCGGGCTGTGCACTATGTACAGTTGTGCACATCCGTGCCATCAGCCACCACCAGCAGCCCCATCACCATGTGTGACATGTGTGATAATGGGGGCTCCGTGATTGGTATGGGCATAACTGTACGGGGTGTGCTATCTTGTGTCACCGGCCGGTGTGATAATTGGCGTGTGATAATTGGCGTTTCTTTCTGTGTAAAATAAAAACATCACCGGGTGTGCTTTCCTGGAGAGGTGTGTTGGGGATGTGCTATCTTCTGTGAGTGTTCCATTAGTTTATGCACATAATCTCAAACCGTTGACACAAAAGAATCATCCTCAGAAAGATACCCAACAATTATTTGTGCTACATCAGAAAGGCGTCGGAACGAAAACGGAAATTTCTGGCAAAAAAAACTTCAAAAGAGTTGGCACCAAATCCTCAAACAAAACGAGAATGAATTCGGAAAGCACAACGGCCCCAACCATTAATCGTCAAAACATGTCAAATCCTTCCTCCAATATAGTGTCCAAGGACCAAATCCTAAACAGCGCGCGCCCGCTAATCGGTACCGTCGCTTTTGTCCAAGAAACGATAGAAAATATGAAAATATAAGCAAGCATCCACGCAAACAGCCCCCCTGCTGTCAGCTCCCAAAATTCACCCCGAGCTAATATCTCGATGCCAACAGTCCCCCCTGCTTTGCCGTTCACCTAAAACACAAATAGACAAGACCAGAAAACGAACCGATTCGATTGCTGCTCATGCCCTCTAGGATCATGATCATACATGACATCCCCCCCCATGATTTTCGATGCAAGGGCAGCAAAACATGCGATACAAACCAAAAACATGAAAACACGTAACACACATACATGGCATCAAACTCCGGAAAAAGTTCGTACCGTATGAAAACTGTATTTGCAACTGGAACTCCAGAAGCCACCCTGCTCCCTGAGCGGCATGCCTTCACGCACGTCAAACAACACGCTGTCATCCCATTTCGTGCGCGCGGCCAAAAACACACCGCACAGAGCGACCACTGAACTCAGGACCCAACATAAAAACCAAAGTATCGAAACATCCTACAAGTGCTAAAGTGTCCGATGCGCAGAAAAAAACAAAAAAACACAAAAAAAACGCGACCGAGCGTACTTCCCTCCACAAGAGTACGGAAATAATATGAAGCATTCAGCTGCAAGGTAGAACGCTTATCTTGTCGCAGCGTACATTTATTATCATGAAACCAAGTACAGAAAAACAAAATTACGCACACGCCGTGGAACACACGTGTTTTCCGCATCAAAATGCACCGTGCGCTAGCAAGGGAAGAACAGAACAATAATATTAATAAATGCGAAGCCAAATGGCAAAGGTAAAACGTCCATGCCTGCACACAAAACCGAACAAAGTCGTAAACGTTTCACATGTTCTCCCACTTGGCTGTAACAAGGTGAGGTCGTCGCTGTCACCGTGTCCTCCCCGTTCCCGGTCGACTCGAGGGCGCCACCGCTGCTGCCGCCGCCGCCATCGCCGCTGTTGCCATTCGCCCGCCGCCACGACCGTCATGAGTTCCAGCGCCAACACGGCTGCCGGTGACGTCGCTGCTGCCGCCTCTACCACCGCCGCCGTTGTCGCCGCTGCCGCCGACGGGGCTCTGGCCAAAGCTGCCGCTGCCGTCTTCTGCTGCCGTAGGAGCTCTGGCCGAAGCCACGACTCCCGTCGATGCTCCTGCTGCCGCCGGTGTCGCCGCCGGAGCTCTGACCGAAGCCGCCACTCCCGTCGCTGCTGCGCCTGCCACCGTTGCCGCCGCCGGAGCTGCCACTCCCGTTCCTGCCCCTATCGAAGGGGTAAGCCACCCCTGGTACCGCCCCCCGTCTCCTCGCGCCACGCGAAGATGTCTTACCGGGGTCGAAAGGGTGCGTCGGGGCTCCACTCCAGGTTTCATCCAACGCCTCATCCCCGCTCCCATCACCACCGTTTTCCTCGCTGCTGCTGCTGCTGCTGCTGCTGCTGCTGCCGCTGCTGCTGCTGCTCACTTCCTCCTCAGTCTTCCCGGGGTCGGAAGGGTGCGTCGGGGCTCCACTCCAGGTTTCATCCAACCCCTCGTCGCCGCCCGTGCGGCCGTCTGGACACCCGACGCCAACGCGGCGACCGGGGACGCCGCTGCTGCTTCTGCCGCTGCCGTTCCCCCCGTCGCCGATGTCGCTACCGCCGCCGCTGCGGCCGCTGCTGCTGCTTCTGCTGCTGCTGCTGCGGCCGCCGCTGCTCCGGTCATCCGTCTCTCCACCATACTTCTCCTCTCCGTCCACACGCACCTCCTGCGTAGAAAGTCCTCCAGGGTCAAAAGGGTACGACACGCCCCTCTCGAAACCGCAGATGCCGTCGTCTCCGCCGCTGCTGCAGGTCAGGCCGCCGCTGCCGGCGCACGCATCTTGACTGCCCGACGCCACCGCGGCCACCGGGGACGCCGCTGCGGCTGCCGTCCCCCGTCCCCGTTGCGGCTACCACTGCCTTGGCCGTCTCAACACCCGGCGCCATCGCGGCCACCGGGGACGCCGCTGACGCTGTCCTCACCGACGCTGTTGTCGCCGCTGTCGCTGCGGCCGTCTCGATGACTGGCGCCAACGCGGCCACCGGGAACGCCGCGTTGACCCATCACACTCATACTTCCCATACGCGTATCCCCCACAGATCGGATTCATATCCAAGTACCACAACAGTAAACATTTCCGTGGTGACCGACTACCACCGTAAAAAAATTACCGTGCGTGGTGGCCAGTTATTACCGTGAAATCATCAAACGTATTTACCAAGGGTTTACTCGGTAATATTACCGCCGTCAAATTACCGCCGTTGTGGGAGGTCCGGCTAATCCGCCGTTTTACCGCCGTTTTTTTTGTTTTACCGCCTCCGCCAAAGTCGTTACCGCCGTCCGCCAAAACAATTACTGCCGTATAGCGTTACCGCCGAAACATTTCCTCCGCCTTTTCTTGGTTTTACCGCCTCCGCCAAAGTCGTTACCGCCGAAAAACTCATTACCGCCGTTCACCAAAATAATTGCCGCCATATGGCGTTACCGCCGAACATTTACCGCCATATAGGTACGTTACCGCCCGATCAGCGTCCGAGTGAGGAGAGGTCTACAACCTAGGCCTTCTCAGTTCGAATCCGCACGTGTTCTTGCTTATTTGTTTTCCCAAACATTTTTTCGAAGATTTTGTTTCGTCTATCTGTTCTTCTTTGATTCTGGAGTCTGGTTCGGGTTCGGTTTCGGAAGAACCCATTGATTATATTGAGTGGACAGGGAACGAGGCCCACACCACACACACACACACACACACCTGGTCCACGCCCAGCGTGGTCGAGCAGAACATGAGCACTACAGAGGAGAATACCGGATCTTCTAACCTTTAGCCAATGAGATACCACGAATGATCGTGTGGGTCGTGTCGCGCAGGCAATGTAACTTTCGTTTTACGCTTTAACGTGTTTCCGTTTATTATATGTATTTACGTTTTACGTCGTGCTGACTCTAAAAAATGTGAAAGCCACTGGTGAGAACGACAAAAAATCTATGGTAGTATATGATCAATCTTCGGGAAGGAGGTTAGCCGTCTGTTCGGGCGTCGTAACTCAGCACCACACCTGCGGCCTTGTTTGGTGTCGCTTGAAGTTATGGCCATATAGATGTGGCAATGGCACTCATGACCGCCGTCAAATTACCGCCGTGGTGGGCGGTCCCGGTAATCCGCCGTTTTCCCGCCGTTTTTTGGTTTTACCGCCTCCGCCAAAGTCGTTACCGCCGAAAAACGCGTTCCCGCCGTCCGCCAAAAACATTACCGCCATATGGCGACCGCCGAAATATTTCCGCCTTTTTTTGGTTTTACCGCCTCGGCCAAAGTCGTGACCGCCGAAAACTCATTACCGCCGTCCGCCAAAACAATTACCGCCAAATGGCATTACCGCCGAAAACGTGTCCGCCTAAAAAACCGTTACCTTGTAAACCCTTGATATTTACTATGCCATTACGGTGTTGGCTGGTTACCGGAGTAAAATTACCGTGGTGACCAATTACCGTACGAAATTCATTGTGGTAGCCAGTTACCTCCCGAAAACCACTATTCTGTGCCGTCGTGGCGAGTTGCCGCCAAAACATTGCTGCATTGTGCCGTGGAGTCTGGTTACCACGGTAAACATTTACGACCTGAAAAATCGCTTTCGAGAACAGCCAGCCCTGGTTATTTCTTCATCCTGGGCACACAAGGGCCCCGAGGTCGAGCCGGATTGGGCTCGGGAGCTTGGTTGTTCCCAAAAATCACTTCCCGCGTTCCGCCTGACGGGAACACGGTGAAGAAGTGAGAGGCAAGGATGGAGCATAAAGGATCGGAATGAGTGTACTTACTTATTGAATACTTGTTGTACATGTTCTGCTATTCAAAACATTTACTTCGCATGGCCACGACACGGCAGATGGAGAATGGATTGTCTGCGTGTGGGAAAGGACGCAGGCAACGACGCTATCGGGGAATGGAGCGGGGCGAGTTTGGAGATAGAGGCGAGACGAGCGAGGTTGAAGCGGGAAGAAATCCAGGCGTATCCAACATGATTCGACATACTGTAGAGCACGGGCCCTAAATGATGAGTTCAACATTCCTCCAAGGATTAGACTATGTAATGTAGTCTAGTGGGTCTCCTTGGTTGATGTAAACCAAACGGAAATCCGACGATGAATGAATACGCCCCAGAGTCGCATGAGTGCAAGGACTTCTTGTTCAAGCTTCGTTTCGTTCGTTCAGTCATCGTATGACATGCACTATTCGTTGTGTATGGCTCAAGCTTCGAGTCGGAGCAAGACAGGAGGGCGGATTCTACATAGGCAAGGTGCGGCAATCAGGGGTGGTCAATAACACGAAACATCACGCCAGATATGGAGGGAAGGACGGACCAGTATTAACCATCGCTCCGTTTGTTCTGGTAGACACCGATATGTAATACCTGACTAGTTTGACCTGGGAGAACCATCCCCATCCCGGTCGCCACGCGCCGCCGCCTTGACCCGCCGCCTCGAGTGGTCGTACCGCGATGATGAAGAAGTTCGCCCCGCCGCCCTGGTTTCGGCGATGGATCCTGGAGATCGTTCAGGCGATTTGCTTTCTTCGTTGTCTTCGTAGGAGTTTCCGCGGCGGCTTCTGGAGTGGACATTGGCGCGGTGGGAAGGCTCCCCAAGATCATCGAAGAAAGTGGACGAAGCTGTGGTGCCTAGGTCGACGCTATTCTCCAAGCTCAACGTGTTCCCTAGGCCGTCCCATTCATTTTGCTCCAAGTTCCAACTACGCCCGGAATGGTCGCGGCCGTGGAACCGGGGCCCCGTCCCCGCGGAAGATTCGTCGTCACCGTTGCCACCGTCCTCATTTACGGAGGACTCCACGTCGCTAACGTGAACTTCGCCCCAAGCGGACGCCGCGCAGGAGTCAAGGCGACCGTGGTTGTCCCATCGCGATCCGGCTTCCGAAATCATCCCGATGGACGCCACCGAGTTTGTCCTACCGTGGCGGGCGCGGGGAGGGCGTGGCGGCGATTCTGTCTGCTGATCGACTTGAGGGGGTTGGACAGAACCTGGCTTGACAGCGCTGACCCATCGCGCGAGAGACACTGTGTTCATGGTGGGACTTTGCTGGTCTGATTCGAAGCCGGCGTCCCCGGCGACAATGTTCAAGCCTGGAGAGGGTGTGTTGAAGTTTGGCGTCCGACCCCCTGCGGTCCTGCCTCGGGCCAATACGTTGACTCCGCTGAACATCCCGTTACCGGTAGAGTATGCCCCTTGGGTGACGCGCGCTTTTCGCAGTTTTTTCTCCTTCTTTATCTGAACAATCGAACAAGGGAGAGAGTGATCGAAACGTTTCCTGTCCATGCACGACCGCACGATGGTTGATGAGGGCATACGCGATACACAATGTGTACCTTCCATCCACGTTTCATCAATCAGGGTGCCCTTTTGTCTCGCGACCCCAAGATGCTGATCGGTCGGGGAGCTGACGATCCGCTCAAGACAAAAACTAATGGGGGCTAGGTGCTGATTGCCGAAGACCTTTCGAATTTTCTGAAAGCTCCCACTGCAGTAGACTCGTGAGGCCAAGAAAATAATTTAATAACAAGAACCTAACATCCCCGATCAATGAAGAGGGTGAACTCGTCAATATATTTCCCCCGCTACAACATAGGCCAAGATGCATTCACCTCTGCCATGCTGTGTGGGCGGCGGCGAGCAAGGCACAGGTGATACCTGCACGCCCCATTCGAATACAATCAAATAAACAACAAGAGATACACTGTATCCCACTATCACTCTTTTTTTTCATGGAAAGGACTGCGGCTGTGGAATCCGTTTCGCTCTTTGTGTGGTATGCACTTGCCGTTCTTTTGTGGTTGGTCCAGAGGATGATCATGATCACCACCGCCACCACAAAGAAGCTGACAAAGCCCCAGAAGGACAATGGGAAAAGCTTGGCGAGCGCGAAGACTCCTCCTCCAACCATGACGGCGATCAGCATATCCAGCACCTAGTTTGCGAAGGTGAGCGCAGCACCTTTGGATATTCGGACAAAGGTTGTATGTGTTTCTCGGCTCTCAACCACCAAATCAGGGAGCCTATGATGTTGGGGGAACACATGGTCTCTGTCGGGGGAAGGGAAGGAAGTATTGGTCTCTACGCGGTGATATATCAAAGTTCTTCAGTGGTAGAGCCACTCGCTGTTCGACTGAAACAAGAGTGCAACTGGCGACTCCCAAGAAGCGCAGCTCAGCTGTCGTGTTCACATGCTGTACACTACTGTACGACCGTACCATTGCCTGGAGAGTATCCGGCAGGAGCATGATGATTGCCAGAACTGTGAACACCAGACCCGTCATGCACGTGTACCAGCGCGATCGTGCGGTGAAGAGCGGGATGAACTTCTCGAATTCGTTGCCATGGGGAATACGCCCCTGAAGGATCATACCCGACACCTGAGCGCCATGGATGCAGCGTCAGGGTACGCACGCTCAGCACTCGACTGGTTGCCCACGTGAATGTTGATGTGACAAAAGTCTTTCGTGGCGGCACGGTTTCGATGCGATGCGGCCGCTCTGCCGCGATCTCATCACCAGCACGTGTTGAAGGAGGATTCTCGGATTGCAGTGTTCGACATCCCGAGGCGTCCAAGCCTGAAAGGTCTTTTATCCTGCAATCAATCGTTTCTGTGACAACAAAAAAATAGCATGAATCAAACCAACCCCTTCGCCCCGGCAAAGACATTGTCGTCAGAAAAAACAACAGTGAACATTTGCGTGGGTACCTCCATGTTCGGGTGGCGTCGTGCAACCTGTACGCTAGTGGCGTGCCTCGGGATCCTCTTGAACATGTCCGAACGCATGCGATGGCGCATCAAGCTTGGCAAGAATAGGTAGACAAATGCGAGCTTGAGAGGAACCAGGAGGAAGATATCCTGACGTCAAAGAGCGATTTCGTGGATTGCGGGAAACGGTGGGTGGTTATGCGGGGCAAGGTTTCACAACCTTTGAGAGGTTTCGGGCAAGTGAGGGTACATGATACTCGTGGACGACCGCAGTGCCGTGTCCGTTAAGTGGTAGGTAGGTTTGAGTTTCCCTCCAGGCCCAAGAGGGTAGAGACAACTGACAGATTCGTCGGAGATCGCAATGAAGGGAGCGCAATTCGCCCCATGGCCATTTTGTAATGCCGTGAGTTTCGAACAAGAAGCGCCGAATGGGCATCACAGTTGGGCATGTGTTCGTCGAAGTGAGTGCATATTACTCTACTGGCCACCTTTGGTTTTCGTGTCTAGATACGGAACAATGTTGCACGTTTTGCTTGTAGCTGTGGCGGAGCAAATGAACCATGCCCAGGCGGAAACGCTCTGCCAAATAGCGCACGCACCCCTGTGCATATGCAGGTAGCCTTGGCAGGAAGGGGGGGAAGGGGAGCGAGGACATGGCTCACCTCGAAAAAAGCAACCCAGAAGGAAATCATCCACTGAACGGAGGTTGCGCGCCCGGCCTTAACGGCAAAAAGGCACACGTAGAAGGATAGCCCCACCGCATACACGACGATGAACAGCCAGGCGAGACACTTGATGCACAACGGCACGCCGGACAGAGAGTCTTCATCGCCGTAGGTAAGGATGCGGCTGTTGAAGAATACCTGCCTCTCAAGGTAGGTAAGAGAGTCCGCCTCCGCTTGCTCGAACAAGAGTGCTTCCTGGAGGGGGGGGGGGGGTAAGGATACGAAGGGTGGATCACATGGCATCCGAGGACGATGATGTCTTGTGACGAGGGTTGGCGCCTTCCCTTCCCGTAAAAATTTCTTCGTCGCATGTTCTTGCGATGATAGGTCATTGGTCGGTGAAGTTTGGGCATATCCTCGCTCTAAACGAATCACGACCTGGGCAGCCCGAAGCAGCATACCTTCGAATCCACGTCGCCCGTCTGGGCGATTCTTTTCTCCAGGCTAATCGCGGGTCCCAGAGACCTTTTGACCTTTTTTTCCAGGCGAGCTTCGCGTTTTGCCCCGTCCCCGCAAAATCCGCACCCGCAGCAGAGACTCCTCCAAAAACGTGTCACCTGCCCGGTGGTTTGGTGGATTTAGGAAATTATATCAAGATTGAGTGTCTGCAGGAGGGTCTGAGGTGTATGTGTCGGCGCCGTGGTTCGGCCGTCGCCGATAAAGTTCCCGGCTATCCCATCGTGGGCGAACTCTAGTATCGCAGAAGCAAGTATGCCCACAGCTTTTTGGCTTCTTACCCCCATTGACTGCTATTCAGTTTCATAAGGCGGGGGGAGCTTGTGGCAATGGCCCGGACAAGACGGGGGTAGTTGAGGGAGACTTATGAACGTGTTGGACTACCTCAGTTCGTCCAAACGCACGGCCCAGCCGATAAACGGCAAGGCATGACACAGACTACGCGTGAGTAATACGTAAGACACGGCAATCGTCGACCTTTCTTGGTTCGCATGACAAACACACAACAGAAGGCCGTACAGCAGATCACCTTGCCCTCCCGCCGATGTTCCGCAGCTCTCGCTAGGTCGACCTCGATGGTGAGCCTTGCCTGTTGGAAAGTTCAAGCGAAGTTTCCATGCATACCAACACGTTTTCCTTGGGAATGCTTGGACGATTTGTTTTGCTCTCGCGATCAATCTAGTTCTGGTGAAAACAGTGATACTCAAATAAAGGATAACGATTTTACCCTTGTAGTGTCTCAGAACCATAGGAACTGTTCTACATAATGCCAACGTCTAAGGGTGAAGGGATACAGGCCCATTTAAGGTATGGAACTGCCAAGCTCTGGTGTTGGTGTGCTCGTGGGCAACTCTGGGCATCTTTGCCACACATTGGTCTGCCCTCCATTCCGTCAGTACGGCAATGTCTCCTGCGTGACACCAACCTCCGCTGTCATCCGTGGGGGACGCCTCCCTGAGTGATAAACCAAATGACTAATCCATCAAATTTATGTACAATCAGCATGCGATTTCCTCACCCACTTCGCACCCTTGCGACAATGGAGTGCAGCTGTGACCCACCTTAAAATCACCAGTCGCATCTTTCTCGACATGATCGACGGTCTTGCTGGAGGCGATGGCACTCCCTCCACTTTTCCCGTTTGGTGCTTTCCCTCCCCTGCAATACCGTTCCACAATACACTAGGTATGAATGGTCCACAGAAAAACCGAAATTTGGCATCGACTGCAGTTGCACAACAGAGTGTGGAATGATAATTGGGGCTGTAGCGGTCGTGGTTTCAGTCTACGTATCGTTGGGTCTACCAATCGCTATTCATGATGTGAGATGGTTAAACCTCTCCTGGACTTGGCAGGGCGCATGAACTGGCCTCAGGTTTGGTATAGTAGTCAAGAGGTAGCACCAATAAAGAGTACGATGGGACAGAATCGGACAAAGTTGATCTAACCTAAAGTTGCGGCAGCTGCAGCGCCTTCGGCAACCCTTGTCAGGGTGCGGCATCTGGCATGGTTGACAGGTGTGGACACAGAGGCGGCTCCACCGAACCCTCCCTGCTTGGGCGTGACCGCGACTTGGGTGTACGTGCCACCGAGTGTTATATTTTTGGAACCACAAACCGATGCGGCGGCGGCGGTGGCGGCGGTCGCGTGGATCCTATCTCCGTTGTCATCGGAACTATCAACAATTGTTTTCGGTTCAGGCACAGCACAACTTGTTTCAACACGAAGAGAAAAATATCCCATTCAGAGGGCACAGCAATACCTTCAAGCCTTATTTCGGCAAGCGTTTCGGCAAACTCCTATCAAAGTCACTGCTACCAGTTCCTTCCGCAGCTCCCACCTTTCGGCCTCCATGTCCCCAGTTCCAGCCCGACCGCCTTTCGTCTTGGTCGGTCTGACGAGGAAAGCCGCAAACACGGCCACGAGAAACAGCTCCAGCGGCAGCGCCAGTATCAGCGAGATTGTCGAAATGACGAGGGAGGTCTCCATGTCCTCTTCCGGCTCGGGAAGGTAGCAGGTCCTGGAGCCCTCGTCCCACGCGCAAGACGAACCCACACCTCCGACGTTGACGTTCGCCGTGCTCGACGCCGCGCAATCTGCTAGGTTCTCGAACGCCCCGCAGGTTCCATCGTCCTGCAATGTGTTCCGCGGAATAGTTCAGGTTCCGCATTGTTTTGACATAGGTCGGCGCACAGTCTAAAGAGTAGTTTCCCAATACCTATGTGTATGGTGGTGTGCTGAACGTGTCGGGCCCAACGTGCGGAATTTCACCAGTTGAGGTATTGGAAATCCCAAATTACTGTCCATGCTGCTCTCCCGCAACACACACGCTGCCGAAAACCTCGTACAGCCTGTTCCCAACACGGGTCGACATAACACATTGTTGTTGCTCATACGTGTACACCTGGAATCGTACCTTAAACATGATTGAGGCGAAAACAGTAGCCTCAGTGGCCATAAGCGTAACGACTGAGCAGAGCAGCAGAGCAACCCTTTGAGGCCTTGTGAACCATTCGTAGTAGCAGTAGAACACCGACACGAAGTCGTGGTGGACCATGATGAGCAACTTTAAGCTTTTTCTGACGCGTCTCTCCCCTAGGTGGTGGGGGCTGCAAAGAGCAAAGACACACAGGGCGCGGCAACGAATAGCGACGTCGATGGAATAGTCCACCCATGCTTCGCTGTAGTCAGCCATGTACAGTGGCAGTAGCGTAGCTCGTACAGAGGTGTCATTGAGCGTAGCGCTTCGCTATATTGTGTTGTCACCTCCGATGTCTATAAATGCTTTAAACTGCGTGTTGCGCGGAGAAGAACAGCTGAAAGCAACTCTACGCGAGCATAGGCCGTAGTTACGGGCGGTCGTTCGGCCACGTATACACGCATGTATCTCTGCAAGTAGTTTACTCACGCCGTGGCGTCGACGTCATCCTTGTTGTCCCCTTGCACCGCAGCTGCCAAACTCTTGAGACATTCGTCGCGCGTCATCCCCCGTTTCGGTACGTGAAGAGTAGATGCCCGTCTCTCGTTGACCGTCTTGCCCTGATTATCAGTGGTAGACGGAGGTGCCTTCGACCAGCACGCCAGCGATGCGAGCCAAGCTCCGCAGCCTGCCGGGCGTCCCCGATCCTAAGTATCGACAATGAATGAGAAGCTGTCGGAACGCGTTGGTGGAGACAGGTTCAAGCTGGCGAGTGGCGCGGGCGGTGCATCACATGAGACATGACAGAAGCGGCGGTGCACAATGGCGTCGTGAACGTTTCATGGTGACTTGTCTGTTTCAATTAGGAAGGGGGGTTGGAAGAGGGTAAGGACAGGAACTTGACCCTGACAAACCAAGCGCCCAGCGCGTACGTATGGTTGGAACTCATCCATTATTTCCAGAGGTGTCATGGATTATCTTGGCTAACGGGTGAAAAGTTTAAACCACTCTCTCACCAAGAAGTGGCCAACGATGCACACCCCACGAAACGTACAGTATCACCAAGATTAGGGTTAGATACGACTGTCAGGGACGCTCATTCTCGATTGTGGAAGTTTGGAAGGTGACCCTCGGCGGCGTCGTCACCTTCTGATCAAGTCGCCATCCGAACCCCGCACTGATTACCGCCAGAGCGAGAATCCCTCCCATGGTGGCGAAAATCGGTGCCGCTGATTGCACTTCCGTCCAAGTGAGAGTCGTCGCCTCGTCCCAGATCGAGATGAACTCCCCCGCCGTGTCGAGGAAGGTAGACGCGAAGTCAACCTAAAGGAGAACACGCATGAGACCCAGGCAACCTATTGAGGCATCTGCAACGTACTACGCGTAAAAACCCGTTGCTCAGTTGGAGGCACACTTGGTTTCATAGCGTTCCCCGTTCGCTACACGACAGGCATCGGTTAGCGATCGTCAATTCAAACTGCATAGTGGTAGCGCCGACGTCGCCGATCACGGCAGGGAATCGTGTATCTTTGTGGCAATGAGTGTTACATTTCATTGAGCATCGCCAAAGGTGTTTGTTCTGGAACGTCTGCTCGCTCAAGGCTTGGTCCCAGACGTCGGGTGATTGACTACAGTATGATAATGAACAGGGAGTGACGTGCTGCCATGGCTGATAATGACTGTTTCACCAACAACCTTCTCTCTCTTTGGACTTGCCTGGTTGCTTCCGGTTCCGTCACCCACAACTCCTACGGTCGCGGCGTAGCTGCAAAGGCAGATTGTCCACGAATCATTGAAAGATGACACCTGAGGTAAACACCGGGAAGAAATATTTGGCGGCTACAGGAGTGAGTCAATTCGAGACGGATGTGCCGCCAAGTTTTGCCAACGGCATCGCAGTGTTGAGTGGTGCCCACACTATGAGGACCTACTAACGTCAAGACAATCGGCCTCAGACCGGTAAGTGAATGCCTCGGTGACCTTGCCCCGTAAACGGCAGATGCCCCCCAACCGGTTTACCAACACGTGTTATATGATTACTGTTTAGAGGAAAACCACAGTTTTATCGATTTGGGGGCAGGTGTCAGCAAGAAAGAGGTGTCCGATTTCAACAGTCAACCGGATTGACACTACCAACAATGCTTTACAGGGAACAGCGTAGATTGCTCTCCAGTACACACCATGGTTGTCTAACGCGACCATCGTATATCCTGAGGACGTGACTCTCAATGCGTTTATACCCGGACAAAGGTCGTCATTGCACATGACACCATCGCATGAGAGAGATGCAACTGATGCCCTACCTGGCAGTTTTCGGCAGACGAAGACTCTTCCGATCCTTGCCAAGAAGCACACTCCGGCTCGGTTCCGTTGTTGGAACACTCTACCTCCCGTGTCTTGAGGATATCCAGGTTGTGTACATGTGTAGCAACAAATGCGAGCGTAAAGCTTTCAGTCACTTGTGGACCTAAGTTGTTTTTCGGGAGGCCGTCGTGCTCACGTGCGCTAGAAATCACAATTTGCCGGTTGATGGCATCAATCTGTTGACATAGAGTTCCACTCTTACCCCGAAAACAAAACCGCCGTAACATTCTACGATTGTTTGACGTTTTGGCCATGTCTGTCTGTTGAAAGTCGCATGTGGATTAGATGTTGGAAAATGTCACTGAGGTGCTTCGAAGAGTGTCATTTGACGAGGAAATCTACCACCGAGCGCCCACTGTACACAACGCACACTTCGGGGTGAAGGGTAGGAGAGCTCCAGTTGGCACCTTGAAATAGCAAACACTTGTTCTCGTGTTTTCCCGGTCGTAGCAATGGTTCGTCTACCAGACAATGTTTCTACCGGGATGTTCCAGGATACCCCCGAAAACGGTAATGGCACCGTGGCTCGTCACGCCAACAACATCATAGCAAATATGTCGACCACAGCCACGCCCAAAGCAGGAACCGGCCGTACGAACAATCAGAAACGAACCGCCGTGAGTGCGGACGACCAGGCCATCTCTGTATCCCCGGGTAGGACTCTCATTTTCATCTCCGAGCGTAACTTGGTCTACATGTAGCGCGAGAACGAGAGGATTGCGCGTAAAGAAATGGCATTTTATCACTGCCCTGGTCGATCAAGACCTGCCCGTCTTACCAAAGCCGTTCCCATGCAAACGGTGGTGATGTCGGTGCCATTGGGGCATGTCGACGACTGGGTTTCCGTCGAGTCCCATTCACACACGTGGGTGAACGTTAGGATGTCCTGGGGGTCCCATGGTTGGGAGACTGTGTTGGGGATCGTTATCTGATCGTGGGAACAAGATAGGGTATTGCAGTCGGGAAACCAGTAAGCGGTGACAAAGAGCACAGCCTTATTTGAACGCTCTGTCTGTGCAAGATATGCTTCACGTCTCGTGCTCGGCATAGCTATGAACCACCCCAAAACACGGACGTTTGAGCATGGTCAACGTGTGCTATAGGCATATGGTGTCCATGGCGCGTGTCAGTCGTTGTTTCTGGGTTCTGACCTGCCTCTTGAATCTCGCAGACACGTGGCCTCAGGGGCCTTGAAGCACGGCGGGCGTTGTTCTACACAGCCAGAAGAATTCACCTCCAAGGGTATCTCCAAGGGTAGAGGATGTCCTACCGAGTACGACTGACTAGTGGACAAGACAGTACAGAAAGATTGTCATACTGCTGTACCTCGAGAGATCCAATATCCTCCAGTAGTGACCTTCGTCTAGGGCGGCCCCGCCATCGCTCTTCTTCTGCCAGCATTGACGTGCCACCGAACCCGTTCAACCCTTTCAGTTTCCGTCGTGACAGGGACGAGGACGATTCGATAGGATCGGCGTAAAACCGGACGACGCTAGACACCACTTCGTTGCTGCTGTCGCCGCTCGAGGTGGAGTTGCCGGTCTACGGTGTTAGTGGTCGCGTAGACACAACGTGAAAGCACAACGCGCGGCGGAGGCGAACGGCGGCGAAAAGAAGACAAATATGTTGTGGGAGAGGGTTTAATATATTTCTACACGCCCAGCACCGATGTATGTATGTTGATACTGAGAAACTGAAACGAAACGTGTTCTGCACAATATTCAAACTACACTTGGTTTATCACGGTGAAGGACAGACGTAGACAAAGGATAACAAGTTGAGGGACACAAGCGGCTGGGAGTGACAACTGTACCTGGTGGTATCTACTGATCTACAGTTCGCTTGCATGCCCTGACACGTGTACATTATACCGCTTGCAAGGTGCGGGCAAAATGAACCTAAGCCCACTAGACCGACACAGCAGGCCTGCCAGCGGGCACTGGCTCAGATCTCTCTTCTTCCTACCTGTCTGGGGTCGATGATCCACTCGGCCACTGCTAAGGACATGCTCGATACGTCCGAAAACGCGTCCCCGACGTCACTAGGCAGGCCGATGGATGAAACCGACCTACCGACGCTCTCGTCGTCAGCTGTCAACGGTGGCGATATCTGCGTTGGTGTGTATGTGGGGGCAGATAAAGAAGGCTGGTTCGGTTCCCGTTGGCTTTGAATCCGATGTTTTCAACTTACCTAAACAAGCTGTTACGACACGAGCAACATGGCGCGGGTGGACTAGCGTCAGTGTTACCCAGTGGGTGAATCCGGGTGTCAACCATGTTTTCGGTTCGGTACATGCAGAGTTGAGATTTACTCGCATATGGATCGCGCTCTGGAGTAGTCAACCGGGTGGACGCTACTCCGGTTCAAGGTAAGCGTTCGTACTATTGAATTGTCTATTCTCGCCTGAATCTCCCCGACGGTGGCGGCATCGTAAATGCCAGTCGATAGCCTGAAATAGTCGCTCGGAACCTCATCAGCCACCTCGCCGACCACTTTCCCTGCCACTTGAGCTGAAATCAGGCTCCCCACTACGTCCGATAGCCCTTCCATATTGCTTTCCTCCTCGAGGAAAGACGATGCCAGCGTAACCTGGAAGATGGGACCACGGGTGACATGCTGTCATGGAATGAAACGGGAGGTAGCCTGAACGAGCATGCAACACTCTGCCAACGTTGGTGCCAAGGGTTGATAGGGTTACCTACGTGGAGCACGTTAGATGCGCGGGAAAGCAAGGCAACCCCGGATACTAACACCGACGTTGTTTTCGAGGCAATCTCCGTTGAATGAGAGAAGTACAAACATCGCGTTCAGCTGCTGGCGGTAAACGCTCCTTGATGTGAGGACATTCTATTGTAGTGCCATCTCACCATGAACTATTCTTGCCGCGGATTTTGACGATAGTGTACCGTTTGCAAGAGAACCCACACGAACCTACGCTACACCTGTGTGCCGTCATCCGACCCCTCCCATATTACGCTCGCTCGAGCTCTGCCTTGGGTAACTACCTCGTCAGATGTAGACGCCAAAGTTCTGTGGAACGGGAGGGCCGAAAGAATGTAATCTGAATGATAGTCCAACATACACCACGTACCTGCCCAATGATTTCAACCACCGCAAAGGCGGCCGTGCTCGCCACACCTTGCCCGCTTTCGTCAGCCATGTGTGTCGTCTCTGTCGCCAGATCTAGCACTAGCGTCACCGACGACGCCTTCATTTCTTGGGGTACCACTGACAGCTGTGCATGCAAGATTGAAGGCGAGGAGAGGGTCACACTGGAAGGCAGGGAAAGAGTCGTTGATAGGGAGAAAGGTAAAGGAGGGCATTATCATTGTATCCGAGACTCTACTTTGGGATGGTGCAACAATCTCTAACGTTCTGTAGATATTATTATCATGTTGACCAATGTCGTACAACTACGGAAGCATCCTCTACCCACAGGTTCATCAGCATCAGCAATAACAATCACGTCGTTGCGCAATCGACGCCGGCAACGTTGGTGTCGTGCACGGGTAGTTCGAAGAAGCAGGCGAGCCGACAAACTCGCACCAATCCCGCCCCTGTGCTGACATGCCAACAATCATACAGGAATACCCTACGCCGACTAAGGTTGTACCCCTGGCCCTTGCGCACTTTGCATCAAAACCTGTGTTTTCCATGAAGTACCTTGGAAAGCAGCACCGCTTGTCTGGAGATGGTATCCCGACTGATATCCAAGCTCTCCGCCGATTCCTGTATATACAGCAGCGACTGCTCCCGGGTCTCAACCGCGGCGTCCAACTCAGAGTCAGAGTACTGACAACCGTCTCCTCCGTAGCCGTCGAAACAGTTGCAAGATGCGCGACAGGTGGAAGTCGGGGTATCTGCGAGGCAGTCTGCAGCGGTCAGCACGGCTCCCGACGTGGAGGACACGTACTCGCAGGTACCGCGGATTGTCCCGCCGCAGTCGTTGGGGCAGGCCTTGGCCGGAGAAACGCAGATCGGATCGGAGGTCGTGGATGCTGGTGCGGGGCAGTTGTTGTAGGAGCAGTCGGTGTCGACCAAGCACGTCGAGCCCGAGGGGCAGGGGGAGCAGGACGAACCGCCGCAGTCTACGTCCGTCTCATCGCCGTTCTGCGAGAGGAATCGGTTGCAGGGACATCACAACGGGAGTAGTGCGCAACGTTGTTTGCTTGCTAGTGCTGTTGGTGAATAGTCAATAGCCGGCCGTGAGAGTTCGCTTTGTTAGGTTCGACCGTTGCATGTAGAAGTCCACAAATCCCACGAGGGAGAGAGAAAGAGGGAATACACATCGGTGTTTCTGAAGCAACTCTAAGAGGACGGCAAAACGTACGCACGTCGTCGCTAGATACGCCTTTTGGTGTTCTTCCTCGCGCAGGACAAACGTATCCACCCCCCTAGAATACACCTGGACCGCTCCATCCCATTCTCCTGGGCTTCCGTGGGACATGAAGACAGCATGTCACCTTTTCGCCATCTGAGCACGTAGCATCGAGCGCTGTTGTGTCCACACACAGAGAGTTGTGCGGCCCCACGACGCCAGTAAATCCCGAGACGCACTCCCCGCAGGTGTTGTCCTCACGAAGACCGTCTGTACCGCAATCGTCGCGGTTCAAAGCTGCGCAGTCTGGGGCGACTGTACAGTTGGCGGCGTTGAGGCTTGAGCTGGCCACGTCAAGAACCTGCGTGCGGGTGGAGTGCACGTCACGACGGCATTGAAACAACCTGGTATTGAAAGCTAAGCTTCGGGGAAGATCAAGCGCAGCACTTGGACCGTACTCAGAAGGGTAGCACAAGGTGCCGAGGAACAAAAAAACCTTCAGTCATGCGTATACTTCTCCGAAACAACACATTACACGCGTGGTGCAAGATGGGACACCTCGAGAGCGCCATCCTCTCAACGAATACTGCGCCAAGTGGCATTGCGCCATTCTCAAAAAGAAGATTGAAATTCAGGAAAACCTCTGGAGTCCTCAGAATGTTGTATGGAATTTGGTTAGAAGCACAAAGGCACCGTGGCATAGCTTTGGCCCACACTGCCGACCTGCATGACGGTGTCGGTATCACCCGCAGCCAAGGCCTCCGTGGCGACGGCCTCTACCAAGGTGCTCAGCTCCTCAACGCCGCCTTCGTAGGCCGACACGGTTACGCCAAACGTGGCCCGAGAAGCAGCACCGAGCGCGTCCAGCGCATACACGAGGGCAATCAGCGTGGAGTTCGAACCATAGCCCTGCACCAACGCAGTGAATAGGCGTAAGCGCTATTAGAAGATGGTGCTCGTATATCGCTTGGATCTCAAGGGGTACCGGATGAGTTGGTGTCGAGGATTGACTTCATCTCGCGGATGCAACGAGTAATGGAAACGTCGGGTACTGTTTTACTTTTACGAACGCCTGGGATATCCTAGGGAACATCTATGTACCTCTCGTTGCGCCGGATACTAACTTCACTGGCCCGTGGTTTGGTGCAATCCGGCGGCAGTTGCCATCACCGAAAGCAGAGCCCAACGGCAAAATCGTGGATCCTGACGAAGCACATTTGTTGCTACACGGTGACCGCAACACAATATTCCTCCCTGCAATATCTATCACAGGGAGGACATCAAGGAGCCCCCTTACTGTACAAGGTCGGCACGTTCCTGGCTTCACTTGCCTGTGGCAGGAAAACATCGGTAGCTTCGGAGCTTTCGAGCGCAGCTCGCACAATCATTTCGCTGGCGGTGTCGTCCTCGTCGGCACTGCCGCTGACGTACGCGAACACGTACGTGAGTGGAAGATCGGCTACGTCGTCTTCCCACGCGTACGTGTTGAGCTCGAATACATCCGCCATAGCAACACCTATCAAAGTGGTATAGGATATGAGTCAGAACTTGCCAGAAATAGGCATTCACTGCGACTAGGAGGGTAGTTATCGCCGTTCCAATAGACGTGTGTCCCAATCGTATCACCATGTCGCATTGTTTGCATCTCAGGGCGGACACCCTTCCCCCCAGGGCATCGTGTTTTACAAAACTAGACAACGATAAGAATGACTCCCGAGATGCAAAGCGTTTAACTTACATACATCGCGAAGGCAATCCGGGGTAAAGGCACCCACCGCGTGTTGACCTTTCTACGAATCTCGCTGAAGTAGACATCTGCGCCTTGCAACACCTACAGTAATTGCTCACCCTCAGTAGGCGACACCTCAAACACGCCGCCTGTAGGCGGGGTGTTGACTAGAAAAGAAATTGAAGCCAAGGCACCACCATCGTCCTCTTGAAGTCTCCGCCGTTCACCAGAAACGTATGCGGCTGAAAGAGAAAACGTATAACTCGATCCGGGGACCAGAGAGTTGGCGCTCAACACCATGTTGGCCGAGAGCACGCCTGAGCCAGAAGACTGAATCGAGAGGGAAAGGGGGGGGCGCAAGTGGCCAAGGGTCGAATATTCGTCCAGACGCCTGGCGTGAGCTTGGCATAGTTACGTTGTACAACGCCGTCATGGTAGGTTTAAGAAATTCGGCGCCACCGATGTTGATATGGCGGGCAAAGTATACGAGACGGGTGTTTCAGAGGGAGTGTTGCGACCACTATTGTACTCTGGAAATACTCGTATTTGGAGAGGTACTGGTGGTTCCACCTGCATTGCTGTACCGTACCGTGTACTCGAGGCTGGAAGAAGCTGCGAGCCTGAGTTCGTCGTAGCCGTTGAGAACACCGTCCGTCAACGTCCACTCCGCGATGGCACTGGAGTCCTCCGACAAAGTAATTTCCGCTTCGATGGCGACCACGGTGTCCGCGTTCACCTGAACAACAAGTCGGAACGCACAGCCAAACGTCTGAAAAACCGGTAGGGGGAGCCGGTGCCACGTGGACAGCAGGTTGGCAGATTGTAAAAGCTCCCGAAGACATGTCTTTGAGGTAGCGTCCTTTTCATGCCCTGCGCCCGGCCTCCTGCGGCCCCTCACCGCGTATAGGGGTAAGAGGGAGAACTTTTAAGTCTTGCGGTAGTGATCTACCCGCAGGCATCCTCCGTTGTATTTAGCGGTGAGTTTTGGTAGATGGAAGGCAATAGTACCGCCAAGGCTGACCAAACTGTGTAGGCGTAAGAGTCGGAATTGAAAGAAAAAGTGACGTCGAGCAGGCAGACTATGGCCTACAGTAACGCATCTGTGCGGTGACGACGATTGACGATTATGGTGCACGGGGACATCTCCAAGGGCAATAATGGAACACTAGTCCTTAAATACATAGCTTTTTCGTACTGGAAGCATACGCATCGCACGGGTTGTTCGTGTTGCCTGACCACTTCGATCAACTACAAACGAAGATATCGTAGAAATGGATGGCTTCGAGGCTCCGACAACAAAGCGCGTCGTGCGTGGACTATCATCTTGCACGACGTGCGAATAGTGGATATTGGTGTTGGGTGTGAAGCCTCTCTGCCACCTCCAAAGTGTGACGGTATTTGGGGGTGGGCATGGGCGGCAACGAAAACCCGAATGCTACGCATATCCCGGGAGAGTTATGCATGGACAGGTGCTTCAGCCTCGGCTATGTCTTGAGTCGGCTCAATTTACATTTCGTCTTTGGCTCCGGCTCCATAGCGGGCGGATTCTCCCATCATCCCTTTGGGCTATCTCGCTCCAATCGTTTGCGTTAGCTTGTTTCAAGGAATACGCGGACATATATCAACAAGAGCGACAACAATGACAGCAACAACCCCCGGTCAACCACAACATCTCAACAATTGGAACGCCCGATGATATGTGTACACCCTTTTCTCAGTGTCCTCGCTCACCTTTTCTACTGAAAGCGGGGTGATCGACAAGATTGGCATGGGCTCCTCTGTCCCAACCGTGAAGAACGTTGATGTCGTGGACCATGTCGTTTCAGTTGACCGTCTGCTGGAAATCTGAAAACGACAAGAGAGTGAAGACAACGAGAGCACCGAAAGAAATATCTAAGGCTGTGCTCGTTTGTCATTGACGGATTCAAGAAGACATCCATCGATGACACATGTCTGGGCATTGTGAGAGCTGATGCAATGTTCCACACGTCCCCACTCAATTCAGTACGACATATCCATGCCAGACTTAACGCCTAGACGCAGCTGCTCTGGAATACCGCGCAGCAACGTTTCACATTGTCCACCTCCCCACTGGCCTGGATCGTGTATGTTTCCCCGGATACAAGCTCTTCGGCCAGGAATGTGAGTGCACCATTGCTGGTCTCCCCATCCGGTAGGGTGAGACCGCATGCTGAGCCGGACAGAGTCCCAGTGCACGAGACGTTGTAGAAGCAGTCTTGGCAAACCCCGTCCTCCTGTTCCATATTGCAAACGGCAAAAAAAGAGAAAAACCGGCAAAAGTTCGCGTCGTCGTGGGTCTCTCATCAATACTATATGAAACTCACACATGCACAGCAGCCAGAAGAGTCGCAGGGCTCGGCGCATTCGATCACCATGGTACGGGTCTTATCAGCATGATGCATTCGTACGGTGGGCACCCATGGCACTTCCCCTGTGGCCGTGCGTGATGGGGATTGCAACCAACAATAATCGCGCAACTCTTCTTGTGAATAATACAAAATGACGTACAGCAGTACCAACCTGCGGATATGAGACCAACCTCCTGGCTGAGGGGCGGTGTGCTGTGGCCACTAGAGCTCAAAGCGAGGACCATGTTGTGGCGCCGTTCGGTTGCCGTTAAATTTTTGCAGGACAAAAGCCTAATCACAGCTCAGTACCCCAGGACGCCATAGATACAAGGAAACATCTTGGTTTTGCTCTGTTCAAGCACACAACCATCACCCCTGATTCTTTGCTGATCGTGCATGTTTTTACCTCGTCTGGATCGATGGTTGCAGTCATGTCCAGGACAAGGTCAATGCCCGCACTGACGGTACTATTCCCTCCGGCGACGGCTGCGATGAGCGATGAGCTTTCCACAGTGACCACCTGCCATGGGCCCGCCGGGTTATTTATCACGAGACCGGGACAGGCTACGGCTACATGGTTGAAATTCACAGCGATAACAACAACATCAGAGAAAACAGGCGACCAGCACTTTCACTGATGACCGTCAGTGTCGAGTTATAGTTGGAGCAAGAGTTGATAAGGGGACGCCACCATCAAATTCCTCACACCGAGAATCGTCGTGTGCACAACTTCCGCCAAAAGCCACACCCCAAAAAACGCTCTCGCCTATTTTTACGTACGATGCGGCATCACATCAACATGATTGCTTCCTAGCAACCGATACAACGGCCTTAATCTCGCACTGATTACGCTTGGATCGTCGCAAGAATACGCTTGGAATCAAGGCGAGGGAAAACGTGCTCGTTGACGGCGTTCGACAGAGTGACGACTCTTCCCTGAACACGATGTTTCCGTTACCTGGGTAGCAAACGACGAGTAGCCCACGCTGTCCGTCACGTCGGCGCGAAATTCATACTCCACCCCGATCTCCAATGAATGTGACGGAAGCTTGAACATACTCGGATCCTGGGCAGTTGAGAACGACAGCACCACAAAGAAGGGAATGCCGCACGTTATTGTCGGTATGCTGCAACTGTCCCTCTTCATGTTGTTACAGCGGTCTATGTATAGTCCTCAAGAAACAGCACGCATGTGCAAGAGCACGGGTTGGGGCGCCGAGGCGCGCTTCCATTTCCCATAGAGGAGTACTTGTACTTCCATTCGCTAGCATGGTCTGTGCTACACATGAACCAAAACACTGCCGGGGCGTATCTTCACGGCCGTAAGGTGGCGGCGGACCGCCTGTGCGCCACGTGCAGCATGTCTTGCAACACTATGCTCCTCCACGATCGCTCATTGACCTTAGAGCCTGTGCTGCCTGACACTGGCGCCATTGGTCGTCATTGTGTTGAGCTAACAACTGACCGCAGAGGTTGAAGTGAACGTTCCGCCGGTCCTCAGCTCGCTCCACTCGTACGTTAGCTCACTCGTCTTGTTGGTTACGCAATTTTCCACCTCCGCGTTAGCGACGATGGCCAGACTGGCGGCGCGTAGCACTGTTCTGGTAGCCCCCCCCGCAAGTGAAAGGAGGGGTGGATCTTCGGCCGCAGCAGACACCAAAACCTTGTGTCGTTGGCGCCATGTAACCGTTGTGGATGGATGGATGGATGGATGGAGGGGGGAGAGGGGGAGGGAGGACTCTTGTTGACTTACGCGTTCTTGGCATTCTATCGGTCGAGGAGTCTTTCAGAGCTAAGAACACGTTCAAACAAGGGAGGGATGGACTTCGTCGTGAGCTCGTAGACGAAAACAGGGGGTCCAGATCGCGTGACCTTTGCCAAAAAGTTGTGATAGACCCTATCCTGAACCTCGGTACGTGTGAGGTATGCCAAGATCAACGGTTGGCGAGTTAAGCGCATGCACTCAGAACGCCATGCCAACCGGCCCAATTCTTGCTGCCCGGTCTATGATGTATGCCGCTGATCTGGTACGTTTTTTCAAAGAGCGTGAAGAAGGAAGTGGCAGGAGGTGGGGCACGTGTAGTGCAACCCTTGATGCATAGTTGGGGTGGGGGATGAGGATGTATTATCAGGCTCTTGGGAGCAACTGGAGAATCTCAATCAATCTGTGACCTACATCCACCGGGACACCAAGCCCCACCCACCTCAATCGACGTCCACCCAGTGCCTCCTAGCCAGTTGGTGGCCGTGATGTTGAAATACCACGTCAGCTCATTCTCTGACTCGCGACCAGCGCCGGGGATGGTAAGCTTGCTCGAACCTCCTGCCGCCGAGGCTTCTTCAGCGTAGTCGAACTCCGCAGACGGTGCATCCGACTCTTGTTCCACCGTCCAGTCATACAATTCCCACTGATAAGATTCCATTACCCGTCCGCCGCCTCCAGTGCTGGCGCTCACGTCCAACACTAGGTCCTGGTGTACAAGAACAGTAGACCTCGTTAGATCGGTTTTTAGTCCACACCGATCGAGAATTAATGCTGTGATTGCGTGAGGTTCACAAAAACAAAAGTTGGCACTGTAGACATTCGGAAGACTTTGAAAATATTACCACAATGGAGTATACCCGAACGGAACGGGGGATGATCACAACTTTCCTCGTTCGCACAATTCCGCCGAACGATCATTCTTGACACCAGCGCTCCCCCGCGTAGTTCGTCAACGTAGGACATTCGTCGCAATAACACTGAATTTTCTAGTATACTTCGACTACCTTTTTTTGTTATCGTTTTCCTTAATTCGAGGGGAAGAGAGGGAAACCTCTCTGAGAGGACACGCGTCCGACAGACGCTCTCTGTCCGTAGCTACTACTTCTCTCTATCCGCAGCTACTACTATCTCTCCCCATAAGAATTCCAGTCGGGGTTTCTCGATTTCCACGGGTGTGGAGAACTCTTCCTACTATACTTAACACCCGAGACGAAGAAGTCCCCGATGGTACTCTACCGTTCACTTTACCCGTTGCATCCCTTCCGTTCCCTCGTTTTCGAAAGAAAAGGGTGGGTGGGCGGGAATACCTCAACTTATTGGCCTCCAACCCTGGCCAATCCTTAGCATCCCTCTCTCTCGGTTCACCTACTGCTGCGTAGCTCTCCAGTTCTACGCTGCCCAATGTTCTTCTCCTTGCACGTGGATTCTCCGAGGGGGTGATCACTTCAATGGGGCCTCTCCCCAAATCTGGCGGCCCAAAGTACAGGAACAAATACGCCTTTGGCAAATCCGACTGTTTCGATTCGACGGCTTCAGTAAACAGACTCTGCATCGGCTAGGCCTGCACAAAACTTGCTCATTTAGACCACCTAGACTAATGATCTAGGCCCCAACCTTTTCCAGTGCCCTCCTTGCGATATGCATACATCCAACTACGCACCTTGCAATGCGCCAACGCCGTGTACCACACTTCCGGAACGAGCTGTGGCTGAGGGGGGTTCTCCGGAGGCGATATTGTGACGGACGACTCGGCATTAAGGGATTCAGGTGAAGTCGACAAGGCAACCTTGTTCGCCAGCGTGGAAATGACGTCAGAGGGTACCACGCTGGCGTTGTAGTGCAAGGTCACCTGGATACTCGCAGCTGAAAGGCAGCGGTAAAAAATGTATTGCGAGAGGGTACGGTCAGAAGTCGTGACGACTGGGGTGTAGCTTGACATGGCGGGATATTTTCAGGAAGGAACCAAATTCAACATCTAGCTTGCAATGAGCCAACCCTCGGTTGCTCATATGCGCTACAGCACGCTATGAAACGAAATCGCGCATTCCAACCACACGGATGAGATGATGAGGTCATTGCCATTGTTGACCCGAACCATGTCAATTTAGTGGTGACCGCACCTGACGTCCAAGAGCAAACGTCCGCATCGCTCCCCCCAGGATAATCCAGGAGCAGAGGGCAGTCAAAAGAACCCCCGAGGTCGGCCACTGCCCCGTAGTCAGTGTCTTGAGCGAAGGTGACAAGCATGGACGCACCCGTATCCGAGAAACGTGCGCCGGACTTCACGGAGGACAATCGATGCAACGTGTGTGTGTCGCCACAAAAAAAAAGTCAAGAGAGTGTGCGATAATTGCTGTAGGCTTCGTCTACACATAGAAGGCGGCGGGGAGTTGTTTTCACGATACTGCAATACGGCCCCCAAGTGTCTCGAACTTCACTAGGTAGGTTTCTCGGACACAGAACACTTCAATCTGAGTCAAGGACGAATCTCTCCTCATGCTATTGTAGATTCCACTACCGAGGCACATAGACTGTTGTTGTTGCAAGGCATTCATTTCTTGGTGGTCCCTGCTGCCTGAACACCATTACTCACCAGCTCAGGGCCGGATTCCAGGGTAGTGAGAAATGTAACTGACGAACAGGACTCGAACCCGTTCTGGATGACGAAAGCGCCTTCATCTGTCATGCGTTAAATAGGCATTGCAATATTGTTCATGAATATTGCGATACGTAGAAGGAAAAATGGGTTGACTAGAGCTGACACCGTAGTCACGTGCTGTGGAAGGCAAAGAAATTTATTTGTCCAAGTATCACCGTCAAACAGCGAGGTTTGGTATGGTACGAAAGCAAACGCGTTCTTTCATGAACTCGCACACTCGCCTTCTTCGTACTCCGAAGATGACTCGCTCTCAACGACGACATTTCCGCACGCGATGGATGTGATCGAGCCGTTGCCCGACGCACTGTTTTCTTCAAATATTGGACTGTACGATGGGGGTAGGACAGCGCCGACCAGGGGGCAACGATAGATACAGCCGCGATGGATGAGCTTCGGCTGACACAAGCTTTTTACACCATGTACTACAGTACAACAGCCCCAGCACAACTAGTCCTTGAAACATGTTAGATGGAATGTATTGTTGTTCTTCGAGAGGAGAAAACCATGATCCTGAATACATTCGCATTGTCGGCACCATGCGCACATTGCCATGGAAATGCTGTACTGCATGTTTAGGCTCAAGAGACCCCCCGCAACATTACTACAGGCGGGGGTGAACGGAAGTACTGTTACCCCATCCGACCTGGTGAAAGTGACAATGCCGGTGAGATCACTCGACTCCTCCATACTGAGGAGGTACAGAACTCCACCCCCGTCATTGCCGGCGACGTTGAAGATGAACAGACAATTGTCCAGGTTGTACCTGTCGAGTCGAAACGAGGGAAGGTTCGAAACAAGGCAAAACATGCAATGCGTGGTATGCATACTTAGGTCATCTTTCATCTTCCGGCCTCACGACAGTGGAAAGCGTGAGACTGGCTGGGCTCACAAGAAGAGAGAAAGTATCCTTAGTCAAGTGACGGCTATCCTTCACGTAGATAGGACGGCCGGTGGCGTCTGCCGAGTAGAGCTGGGGTGATCTCCCTGTTTGATATCTGTATTCAATGCTAAGAAGCACGCGAAACAGCTTTGCAGCCCACGGTTGAAGCAACTCTCGCTCCATTATTTCCAGACGAACCTATCTGCTCGAGATGCCGTGGCAACGGCCAGTGCCCCACCGCCGTTGTCAGCGACGTTGCCGTGAAAGATCGAATTCTGAACGTCCATAAAACCGGCCTCCACTTGCACTATCCCTCCCCCGTACTGAGAGGCGGTGTTGTTGGTAAACTGCGTGTTTGTAACCGTGAGGTTCGCCCCCTCGACCAGCAGACCTGCGCCGAAAAACGCTGATCGCAGCAAGCAGCGCGTCGTAATACGGAAAATGGTGTTTGAGCGAGGGGAACCATTTGTTTGACACACCGACCTCAGTCAAAACTCCTCATCTCTGCGTCGTTCTCATTCTCCGTCTAACATAATAGTTAATGCTGAGCCGACTTTCGTTCCGGGAGTATAATATTGCGTTGTGGGGTGGAACACCCATGTTGAGCCACTAAACGGAGAAGGCAGTGTCTGCGTTCAACAAACAAGGGATTCTTGGCCAAACCGGTATCTACGGAGCGGGGGTGGTCGAAGAAATCAGAAATGTATCCACTGCTGTTGAGTTCACCTTTATTGTTGTAGAACATGGTATCGTCGATAGTCACCACTCCCCATTTTGCCACTACGGTGCCCCCGAACAGTTCTCCATCTTCCCCATCTCCTTCATCCCCCCCATCGATAGTGTTCTCCGAAAAGAGACAACCCGTGATATTCAGCGTTTTGGTGGGGTCCTGCAAATCACCAATCCATAAGAAGGTGGGACTCATCACGATGAGAACACCGGCACCCGCCTAAGACACATTGGGCAATGTTTGCTTGGGCACCAGGGCTTCGCTCCTCGGGTGTATACTTCGACGTGCCTAAATGTCTACATACGCAAGACAGATATCATCGCGGTAGCCCTCCGCCTGCCGGATGTACGATGTCTGACCGCTTCTCTATCCGCGACGTTATCATGGCATGACTAGTGACCGCCACGGCGATCTGCTTCGGTGCACAACATGTGGCAGAGGTCTACACAGCGATGTTCTTTTGGGGGGGGGGGAGTGTCAAGCAGATTCTTCAGAAGGCTCGTGTGCACAACTAACCTGGACATGACATTTTGAAGGAAATATTGAAGAAAACCACGAACTGGCGCCGTTCTACGGTTGGTAGATGGTACCATGCACCCTCAAGCTTACCATGGCGCTATTGTTCCAATAAACCGCAGACCCAGATCGGCGTTGGTAGCCGCTGGTCGAATTCTCGCTAGAGGAATCCGAATATTCGTCGCAAGTGGGATCTCCGTCCGGGCAATCTGAAGCTGGAAGGAAAGTGGCGGAACCCGGCGTTGGATAGGGAGGAGGAACGGCTCGACAGAACGTTTGTGGGCTCTTCTATCGTGATATTTCATTTGTACGAAAGAGCAAGCTGCCGCGGAACCTCCTCATGATCGCTTCATTCGATTGGACGCTGAATATCGTATTCGCGAAAGCCATCAATCTCGGAGGAGCACCACACCACACTACCATCGTGAAGGCGAACCTATTTGCAGGAAACGCACACGCAATTGTGCTAGCTAGCACCAGCCTGCAAGCGCTGGACGTGCCTGCTTCACAGCAATCGTCGTCGGTGCAACCAGTGGTCGCGACGCAAACAGCCGTGCCGTCGGATATCGCAGAGTACCCGGCCGGGCACGTGTACATGTCACACGTGGTTGTCGCGCTGTCCTCCTGCAAGAACCGAGTATGCCCCGCCGACTCCTGGCGTAGTCAACGATGCGTTCGGAAGGGGCGGTTCGACTTGTTTCAAACCACATCACAGCACCTTCATTCAACACCTACAGGCACAGGATATGTGATTGTCAAACATTTGACTGGCGGGAGTTGGGATGGACGAAGACGGGATGACATTTCTGTTGTTGCCTTCATCATAGAAATATTTACAAGGACGTTATTGGTGAGCACGTCACGTAACAGGTAACGCAACACAGAGTTTAGGGTGACGCGAACACCGTCTCTTTCGAACGGGGACGGACTAGTGCGAATGATATGTGTAGGAGCCTGTTTCGTCCACGCGCGGCACGTCTGATTAACGAACGCATCAGCAATATTGCACCCACACCCGACGCCCGAACCGCTGTCTAGACAAATCAAAAAGCGAAACATTATTCACGTCGAGGGACTACCGTCACACTACGACACGAGATACATCTGCGTGAAGGGAACTTGCTCACCGATTCCGATTCCGGTGCCTGTCCCGCAGGAGCAGGTGTCTGAACAAGCGTCGCCGAGCCGGCAATACTGACGGTTACTACACCCATTGCTTCGTCTCCCGCCATCGAGACGTTTCCTGACGTAAAGTTTCCTGTTGTTGAGTTTCCTGCTGAAAAATTGCCTACCAAGGTTGGCGAGGGCGTTGAAAAATTTCCTGCTAATGTGGGAGCAGGCGTAGTAAAGTTTCCGATCGCTGTCGGAGCAGGCGTTGTGAAGTTTCCGATCGCTGTCGGAGCAGGCGTAGTAAAGTTTCCGATCGCTGTCGGAGCAGGCGTTGTAAAGTTTCCGATCGCTGTCGGAGCAGGCGTGGAATAGTTGCTCGTCCCAGAGGTCATCTTGAGGCAAAACAACCACAGCAGAGACCGATGGGGATGGCGCGGTTCGGTCGGCGGTGGCAACATGCTCAACGTCTCACTGCCGGACAGTGATTGGTTCCAAGACTATGGTTGGACTTGCGTGGGAGATTGATAACCTTGTGCACGAACCCCAACCTGTGTGGGTGCAATCAGCTCTCCTTGCCACATAGTTTGCAGAGAAGGGTGTTTCATCCTGTTTCGTTTTTGAATGAGCTCATGCGGCATACACGAACGGTTGGCGGCGGACGTTCGCGAATACTTTTTCTCACGCCTCAGCGATGACACATAATTCGTGCGCCACGTATCGATCACGTCATCTCTTTTACAAGCACGGAAGGGAAAATGTAGGAAAGCTGTAGACAGGTGTAAAGTTGGGTGTGGCCATCGTAGCACCAACCATCCCAGCTACAACTCATATCACCACCCCTCAGCTCGAACTCACCATGCTTGATGGGGTGCTGGATGCCGTCTGGGACGAAGAACCGCTTTCGTCGATCTGAAGAGAGAAGAAGTTATTGCTGAAAGTGGAGTTTTCAATCTTGAGAGACCCCGTGGCAAACACGGCCCCTCCCAGCCCCCTCGGTGTGCCAATTTCGAATGTGTACGAATTTTCAAAGGTACAATTGTTGATGTGCAAGGACGAGGCCGGGTCGTCTGCTGAGAGTGCCACACCATTGATATCCTGCGTGGGAGGCCAAAAATGGGCGGCAACAGCGCACGACGGCATCCATGTATAGTAGTACGTCTTTCAACCCGGGAACGCCGGACAGGCAGTGCAAACATGCCCCCAATGCGACCCGAAGTACTTCGGTTTGAATTCCTCTAGCGTTTGAAATGGTTGTTGGCTCTAAGAGCTGGGTCCCTTGTCGCCTTTACTGCAGGTGAGTCATGCCGACCAGCACGAGTACATGACCGGATATGTACGAACACAATATCGAACTCGGCCGCTCCTGTGATTTTTTATACAAGGTAAGGGTCCCCGTTCGTTTCATCTTAACCGGTTTTTTCTTGTATGGCTCGAGCCCAACGCATCATCCACAATGCTCGAGTGGCAAGAAGTGCGCCACTTCGGTCTCAAGCCTATGCCGAAAAAGTCGAAAGAAGATGAGTCGCGGAACTCATGTTAGGACTGTCGATGGTGGATTTGGACTCTTCTGACAACAAGCACGCCATCCATATATTGTCATGGAAAGATGTCATCTGACAGTGAAGCTCCGTCAAGAGTTCTTCTACTTCCATGGTACACGGTCTTTTGCCTTGACGTTGCCGACTTCCGCAAGAGTTGAGAAAGACGCATGCGACGCCAAAGCGTTTGACCCTGAATCCTGTAGCCGTGTTTCTCTTGTTTAGCACACCGGACATACGAGACAACAATGACTGCACTCATGCTACGTCTCTCACGCCGGATCTATATTCGGGGAAAGAATTCGATGCTATCATCTGCACTGGCCCCATTCGGATGAGAGTAGATTTACCTCCAGGTGCATGCTTTGATGGAAAGGTGGAAATGTATCGAGAGGGAAGACGTTAATAATATCATTGGTGGAACGCTGTCCGAAATGACTCTATATTCAAATCACCCCGTCCCCCTCCATTTCACGTTGTTTCATAACGAGCTCAGTCGTGCCCGGCGCCATTTGTCTCTTGATCAAGGCACGCCAGCCACTCGCACCCGAAATATACAAGTGGGCATGACAGCATTGGAAGGTTGACGGCAACATGTTAGGGTTTGGATTGAGCGATGTGCATAGGTGCCATGCGTTTTCGGCTCTAGGTCGGGCTCAATCGATAAGAACGGCCCGAAGTTAGCTACAAACACGCGGTGACGTTCACCGGCCGGCGTTCGATGTAGTCAGGCATTGCAGTGTCGGGGGCACCAAGATTGGGTAGGTATGCCGAGCCCTACCGAGATCCCACCAAGCCATGGTTGGTCAAGGGAGCCGAGTGGCGACTGGCGAGCGGGTATGTCGAACAAGTCCAAATACGAGCCCGGGGAGGACAAGACAAGCACCTCATAAGCATAGACTACACCAACGAACCCTCTGCCAAAAGCAACATTTTTTTTTGTGTACCTGCCGGGCTCGAACCGCCGACTAAGGACCATTCCTACGAAACAATCTTTTGGAACTGCACTTTTTGCCACGACATATAAGTCGGGTGGGAGGAGTCACACCGGCAGTTGCGAACACGCGGACGTGAGACTGATCATGAGCATGACGTTGCCACATATTCTACTACATGAACAACAGGCATTCGGCCGGCTGACTCGGTCCACAGGCGCACCTCTTCCCCAGATGTGGATGCGTGGAAGTTGGAAAAGGTGGTGTTGAAAAATGTGACCTCGATGTCTCCTTCCAAGCGAAAATATGTGTCGCCGTCAAAACCCAGTATTTGATGCCCATTTCCATCCAGTTTGAGTGTGGATGGCCTGGAAAAAATGAGTGGTACGAGCAACGGTGGCCAGGGAATGAAGCGGCGAAGTTCGACGATTGCAAGACGTCAGTATCGCTGCTCATTCCGCCGTTCCCACTGAGGTTTTGAGAGCTTGGCGTTGCCTCTGACTACTGTACAGTAGACAACAGTACAGAAAAATGAGAGTAGGACCCCTCGGTTGACCGGTCCGCATGATGACAGAAGCAGGGAATCACGGGTTGGCAACTTTGAGCAGTCCAACACACGTGAAGGCCAAAATATACTCGAAGAGTATTTCGATTACAATTGTGCTTCGGCATATCTAAGCACGCAGGTGGCTCATCAGTACACCCACACGCGAGGACCGTCAGGTGCCCCATGTACTCCACACCTAAAGTCGTGGAGACGGCCCCTACTTCGTGGGGAGGCTTTCAGAGCCATAGCAAGGCTGCTCAGACTCTTTTTCGAAACATATTTGCAAAACAGGAACAGTTTTTACTTGTACGCCACACACACACACGTCCCTTGCCACGCGCCATGAGCAACAAGATACATAATCATTAAAGCGATAAAAAACAGCAGGTTCGGGCAGCAGGGTCAGCGGCAAAGATGTCGCTACCCTTAAGAATCAGGGGACCTTGCACCAGCCCTGTTTATACTACAGTACATGTATACTAGAATCCATTATTTCGACTTCACCAACATTTTGTTGGGAAAGGGCGATGTTTATTCTTCCTTGGGTGGTTAACAGTAGGCACAACAGGACCACGATGACCTGGTTTGTTTTTCACCTGCTCCGGGCTCTTGCATGTTCGCTACGTGCGACCAGCTGTTTGTTTCTGATGGTCTGATATTGTCTAGTGGCCACGACGCGTGTTTCCGTAAGACTAAGTACAGATTTATAAATCCTTCCACAGAACCTCAGAATTTGTCTTGGGCTGTAGTAAGACTAGGGTGTATGCGCTGACAATGAGCGCACTATTCTGTCTTTGTATCAGTGGTCTCTCTTCAAAAGAGGCGTCGTAATTTACTCAGGCTTAAAAAGGCGTGGATGCGGGGACCGATTGGTGGGTCGCAGACCAGAACATCAGAACAACAGTTCGTTTCTCGGTTTGTCCTATTTCGTTGGGTCGGTACTTTTATCTCTATCCGACATTGGCCGGGTGGGTGTGTAAGAAATAGGGCGGGCGCGTTATTCGACCCGCCCCCGCTCTGTTGTAAAGGACGACCACAAACTGACAACATCTAAAAACATGAACATGATATGCATATGACTGACCATGATATCTGCTGTGCTATTTCATCACGAAAGCTAGCCCTATCTATGTATCCTTTCGCCGAGGGAAGAAAACGGCAAACCATTGATCTATATTGTATTGTTCGCTGACGATGGTGATGACGGTGCTACAAAGATCGCAGTACGTACGCAGTGCTGCTGTGGTGCTGTAGCGGGCCGCTTGGTATTGCTCTCATTCGCACGGCCCGTACTTAGTTCTTTAATAGTGTGCCGTCATGGAAAACGGTCGACCCCACTTTGAATAAGAAATAGAAAAATAGTTTGTTTGTTGTACCTCCTCTCCCCCTCTGTCCTCTCTCTGTGCCGCGGGGTCGCCCGGGTCGTTCTTTTAGAGACGTTGAGGCTTGGTGCATTTTCAGTCGGTAGGGGACGCTCTTTTCCCTAAAATTTCTTGTAAGCTTCTCCAAAAAATAGCACAGCAGCAGTAAACCGCAGACCTGATCCCCGCTCAACAGGGAGTCTTGGCGGTTCCATTTGCCGTTGGAAAAATTGATTGGTCAAAACGAGATTGAGTGAGGTCTTCTTTCCCACAACGCAACAGCAGCGGAGAGCGAAGTTGAGGCGATTGGTGTTGTTGACGCAATCAATGGTCATGTGGAACTCAGAACGATATGGGATAACGTATTTCGCTGGGCAGCAATAGTAGGGCGGGGGGTAAGGGAAGCAAACAGACGCCGCCTCCAGCAAGGAAATCAGGGAGAGACTGAGCTGTTGACAAACAGTCCATGCGAGAGAACGCCTGCTGGCTCTGATGAAACTGCTGTGCTCCTGCCACTTTCCACCTGCTTTCCACACCGCGCTGCCCGATGGTTCTATCTAACATTGTATTATCCTGTATATTCTTCATTTATTGCCGGCGGCAGTGCTGTTAGGCCCCGATCGTTTGGCGGTATACTGATGGATCGGGCTAGCCGGCTGACCAATGAAAAGACGCCAGCCTCAGTGCTGTTGAAAACACAAAACAATTTGTGTATGTGCCGACGTTCGTTGATGTATGTAGCATTTGACACCAGGCTAGCGGGGAGCGGTGCACAGTCTTCGAAGATCCCCGCAAAATATGCCGGGTACGCATGTATGAAGTTCGGAGGAAGCATCATAAACAGCATCGCAGATAGGTATCGAGCCGACCCCACGGCTTCTTATTCCTCCTTATCTGAAATTTGAGTAGTATAGCAATATGTGGTATGCATACAACATCTGTTTTTCCTGGCTTATTGCTGATCTCGCATCACCCCTAGCCGCGGTGCTCTTTATTACCCCACTCCGGAGGGAAGCCTGTAGTCTAGACTACATACAGCCTACATACGACGGTACAATGTGGTGGCCGACGACAACCTACCCCGAAACCTGGATGGATGCACTCTGTGCCATTTCCAGTTCGTACTGCGTGGTGTTCACGAAGATTTCCACGTCGCTCCCATCCAATGAAGACGCATAGAAGAAAGCTGTCCGTAGGTTGCAGGTTGTGATGTCGGATGCAGTTGGTCCGCAGTATTCTTCGGCAACCGCCAACATGGTCGCATTTTGTGAACCGAGATCGATGTCATCGGCCCATGAACCGACCTGATGGGAACCCATAGTACAACACAGGGAAAAGAGGGGTCAATCAACCAGATCGAAGGCAGGACGGGTGCCCTTGAAACAAACGCTTGTAAAATAGCGGAGCGCACATGTTTTGGGCGTCTTACCTCGATCAGTTGCTGAGCATTGCTGAGGCGCGCCAGCAACGCCAACAAGATGCTCGCGATGAAACAACTAAGGTTGGAGGTATGCATAGAAAGTTGCATGATCAACTTAGGGGATCACCACCAGGATACCCATGCAGTTTTCCCTAAAGCCACCAAGCTCTCCCTTTCCGGACACGTACTGCCCGTGCTCATGTGTGTAGATCATGTTGCATAGTTGTACAGCAGTATCATAATCATGTATCATGTTTCATGTTCGTAACGGCAAGCGGCAGGAGTTGCGCCGCGAAACACGCGGTGCAATCGCTATTATGTAGTCTATATATAATCGCCGGGTCGCCGCTTGGGAACAATTGGACTCTTCCTATTTATTTTTCCTTAACTCTTCGCCTTGACACAACTGGACACGCAAGTCACGCGAGTGGGCAGTGGGTAACCTCGACTGCAACCCCCACGGTGCGGTGATAAAACGAAGAGAGCAGGGAGGAAGGAGCCGTTGTTGCGATGCCCAGTCCGACCGACACCATGGATGGAGAGGACGAGATCGACGACGAAGAGGACCGCCCACGTTTCTGCTCTTTGGACCCACCACACGAGGTTACTTGCAAAGCTCGAGGGATCAACACATTTGTGGAGTTTTCCGAGGCGTGCCGTCGCGGGCAGGTGCGTCAATGTCAGACGACAAGCTGTCGGTTGTCGCTTGGTAGACCCAAAAAAACATTGTGTGTGGCGTTCGCGTGCGGGAAGTTTCGAACACCTTTCCAAATTTTGTGATGCAATACTCGCTGTTCCCCTACTACTATACCAAGTACGTGGTCTGCTGCTGTACACCAGCTGCTATCACTGGTATAGATCATCAGTGTATGTAGGCTGAAACACAATCGAACGAAGCCCAGTACCCAGCCGGTTTCCCTCCACTCTCTGCAAAGAATTCGACGCATCCCCTTCGACAGTGGTTATATCTCGAACGGGTAGTCTTTCTGTGTTTGTATGCATTCTTCCTAAACTGACTGCTTGGTAGAGCGCACCCTTCACACTGCCGTGATGTAACCTTTGCATCTTTCTCTTACAACGACCGAATGTACACCATAGGTCTGACAGCGTATGGCACGAGGGGGCTTTTGCCAGTCCACAGAAACATAGGTGAAGCAGACTACAAGTACTTCACGGTACTGCTGTCAGTCTACAACTTAAAGCCGGCAGTCGAAGTGTATCCGGCAAAGGTGGTGATAATGGACCAAGGAGGTACAACACTGTAGACTTGTATGCGAAAGGATATTGCGAGTAGTGAAGGACAAAAAGTCGAGGGCCACCCCATGTGGCCTTGCAACCGCATCTTCCCCACGGTCTGCAAAATTTTTCTACACTGTAGACTAGATGTAGATGGGTGTACAATACGCCAGTAGAGTACATCCACTGCCACAAGTACTACAGTAGAATCCGGGGCTGATGAGCTTTGCCTTGATACTATGTAACATCTGTAAACAGCACCACCGAGGGGGCTATACTTCCCGATGCACCGTCTGCAATGCAGATGCAGGCGGTGGCCAGCAAGAATTGTCAGTTCTAGGCATACTCTGTGTGTGGAACGCCTTCTCCTCGGTGTTAAGGCAAAACAATTGACCATGCACACGTATATCAGCTACGTACGGCAGCTTTCTACGTAGAACATTACCTAATCACCTATAAGACACACAGCTTCTCTAGTCATCCTACGCTGAAGCACACCATCACCAAATTTCTGTGAAGGTGGCTGGCTGGACTTAATGTCTGCCCAACGTATGAGGAACTGTCACGCACCGCCTGGTCACATGACGGTTCTGTGCTGCTCTTCCTCGAATACATCGCCTAACAACTGCAATCCCCGTTGCCCCTCTACAGTAGTTGCATCTACACTGCGGAAGCAAAACATCATGTCGGCTCTTCTCGCATGCGACGTGTCGAAGCCCCTTTTGTTACCCTCTCTCCGGTTAGCTCCTCTGACGATAGTGCTAAGGCCAGGGCAACGGTGTCACATACCACGAAGCTGTACCCTGGGACCCAAACTCTTTGGCGAAAAGGAACAAGCTTGCCGCATACTTGACGGAGTATGTGGTCGGGCTTTGGCTAGACGGGGTCGTCGCATGTTTACACAAAAAACGCCCGGCGATTGACCATCATCACTTTGATACTGTAGTTGAGGTCATACCAACGCTGATGAGGCTACCTCGTGTCCAAAACAATTTGTCGAGACTGAAACAGTTGAACGATGGCCGATGCTGGAAAAATGTGTTTTGGTTGGTTTGCAGCTCAAGGAGATCAAGGCCATGGTCGAAAGCGGAGAAATGGATCTAACGGGTGTCGACGGGCAAGGGAAAACGCCAGTTCATGTTGCCGCTGGCCATCGACACTGTCACGAGGTGAAGCCGCCGCATTGCCATTGCTGCAAGTACATACCCTTTTGGGATGTTGTGCAATACAATATAGGCATACCCACTGAACGGCGGTAGACGAGTTTCCTAGGGACTCACACCCTCTCGCGTGGATTGCAGTTCCTACGGCGCCATGCGGATGTCATACGCCGCGAAGAATTATCAAGCTCTCGTTTGCTCTGGGGCAAGCAGACACAAAACTAAACATACGTTCAAGAAAACGCGTGTGGTTCTCCCATAGTAGGTGTGACTCAGATGCCTCGATCCGCCATACTCCTGTTGTTTGCTGTGTATTCCTGAAGGTTCTTGTCTACCTTCTCGGCAAGGGAGCAAGCTTCAACCGACGAGACGATCTTGGAGCGTGAGTTGGATCTGAATTTTTGCAGGATGTAAATCTTGGAGCGCGAGTGTACGAACGTCCTTTTGGATATGAGATTTGCAGGATGTAGGAACACGGCCGGGATGGCAAGAACATGGGACAAGGCAAATGCAGGTTGCGGTGCTTGCACTTGAACTGCGATTTCGAACTGTATGCCCATGTGATCCATGTGATGGTATATGGATGCTCTGTCGTTATTTCCTTGGTAACCACTTGCTTCACCTGCAACAAACTCCCTGCCTCTACAGTGTGCCTCTGCATGACGCGGCATCGCACCGGAATATAGTCGGTATCCGGCAGCTCCTGCAATGCGGCGCCGAAGTAGACGTAAGAGATAGGAGAGGCTACACCCCGCTCTTCGCTGCTTGCAAGGCCACAGCATTCAGGTAACAGTTCATACCGTTCGTTCAGCTACTATGGCAGACCGATGTTGGACGAACATGTGCCTTTTGCTGCCCGCAAGATGTGATAAGGCTAGGTATTATTTGGAAAAGGGCGGCTATGGTATGATACCGGAACGTCTATGTTTTCCTTCGATCGGTACGTCGTCGTCTGCGTCGGCTCGGACCTGATGTTCGGTTCGGCCAAACGAGATGCCACCCCCCCCGCGCCCATCTCTAGCGAAGAGGAAATTACGGAGGACGGCGAGAGCCCGCGGTCCCAAACAAGGTCAACTTCGTTTGGACTTCGAAGTCATCCAACACCGGTATTGCACACATTCCGCATGCGCTTCGAACGAACATCAGCGCGGAACAGGTACACTGATTAAACGCGATGTCACACGGTGAAGGTGCAAGCAACAGCCGGGATCGGATGCACTATGCTCGCAGCCGATATTGCTAACAGCAAGGTGACTTGCTGGACGCGCTGTTCGGCGGTGTTTTCTGCTGGCAATGCCTTCCCCATCCCACCCACAACCGCACACAGGGCAATCATTGAGCTTTTGAGGGGAGGGGCGAATCCCGCTCTTGTGGAAGGCGAGAAAGGTCAAACCCCTCTTCATGTTCTTCTGTCCTCCTCACAGGTTTGCTGTCACTCCAACTTGGAAGTCGAATCGCTACAGGTTGATTGAACAATACGACTGGCTACATGTGAGGCTGCCCCATCCCTGACCAAGTCTCCCAAGCTTAGTCACAGGAGCTTGAACGGTTCTGTGAAACCTCCAATTACATGTCCAACAGTCCACCTCGTTCCTCGACGCGCTATCTACTCATGTCAATGACCGGCGACTCACACCCACAGCCCGTTTTATCCCTCCCATTACGCCAGAAGGCCAAGGCCAGCTCGAAGAAAGCAAAATGCGTCACCGGTCCAGCGGGAATGTCGCTTGCGGAACCCGCGCATGAGATGATTGAAAGGGGGGCGCCGCTGACAAAAACCGACCGGTCCGGGCTCACGGTCATGGATGCGGCAGCAGCGTGTGATGCAGAGCTGCTGCGCTACATGCTGTTAGAGTGTAGACTCCACCCAACCGACGCTCTTTCGTACGCGATAAAGCACGGCGACTCGTCGGCTGCCAAGGTGGGCCAGGAGGGTTTTGACAAGATAAAAGAAAAATGTTCATAAAATGGTGGGTTGTGTATGGTGACTTATCGTAAGAACTTTCGTGTCCCCGCACTTTCGCAATGACGCACGAAATTCCAAGCACCAGAGTGAATGAATCCCTTGTGGCCCGTAGACATGTATGAAACATCCGTGCGTTCCGTCACAGTTGAAAGCGTTTGTCGCCTCCTCCTCCTCCTGTTCATGTTCCTGTTCCTGTTCTCAATACGGCCGGAACAATACTCGGATAAACTCTCATCGCCACCTTGAGCACCCGTCTTTGTTTCCGGGCAAACAAGTCGAGTCGATGTTGGTGCTGTGCTATGTACAATGTTCGAAGGGCATCTCGACACCGCAACAACGTGACGTTGACCTCCGTGTCTCGATCCTATGATTCTTAGCCTTTTGTTGCGATCAATTTCTCTACAGTAGTCGATCGGCTTAGAGATCCCCTGCGTGCGCATTGGTGAGGAGCAAAGAGTCGTTGTTTCATTCAACGCACAGGGCTGGTAAATGGGCCCTACTAACACCAATTCTCCTGACGTGCCGACAGCGTCTGTTTGGCAATGATACTTCGACGCTTTGAGGTTCATCAATTGGTGTGTTGCCGTACCCTACGGATTTCTGTAGAATGTTCCACGTCGTTGCGGATACCAAGTCCAAGGGCTCTTCATCCCTCCAGGCTGTTACGCGCAGCAAGTCACAATTTACAACCAACCCTTCCTCGTGGATTCCGGAAAACATGTCCTCACTCCAGGAACTACTTGATGGCGGGGGAGTGGACCCCTGTACCATAATCGACCACAGCGGCAACTCCTTGCTGCATGTTGCCGCAGCACACGGTCACATAGCGTGCGTCGAGGTGCTGCTAACGGGAGCGTGGCTGCAACGAGAAGACTCTGTGCCCTTGAATGTAGATGCCAGAAACACCGCAGGACGTACAGCTCTGTTTAACGCGGCCATGAACGCGTTTGTCGACGTCACCGCCTTCCTCTTGGACGTTGGTGCATGTGAGTTGGTGAAACGCCTTTTGTGCCTCGTTGGTCCCCCTTGTCACGCAAGTACCGAGACACCTCCTGAGTTTGCTGCGAATGAGTGTTTGGTTTGCTCCAGCCTCGAGCAACACTTTTCTTCAACTACAACTACGCGGGTTCGGTCGAGCGTTCTTGTATCGTGTTCCATGCGTAAGAGTTCATAGCTCCGCCACCGCCCGAAGTAACCCTTGGTCAGCTATGCACAAAAAGAAATTACCAGCAGTGTGCCGTCTTCCAAACAAAGCGCCCAACTTAGTCCGATTTTCGATCTTGGCACAACCACCGTACGGCCAACAACCTTGTCATTGCATACGCATATCGACAACTATCGCCTTATACCCACTTACATCGTATGACAGCTCCTGCAATTCAAGATGGGTCAGGCTTGGGGGTAGGTTATGCGTTTGAGGACGCCGTTTCGGACGACCAAAAGAAGGCGATTTGCGAGCTCCTGCAACAGTGGGGCTGCTGGGGTGGAGAGGAGCGTGAGCGCGCTGAGAGTTCAATGTCCGCCAAAGCACCCGGCGGTGAGGTTGTGCTCTTGTCTGGCGAAGTACCGTTTGTGCACAACTTCAGGACGAAACACCTGTGGGATGATAGCAATACCCCCCCACCCCCGGATGGGACTACGTCCAGGAAAGCAGTGCATCGGACAGGGACAGGGCGACACGAGAGCTTGCTGAATCCCTGGCGGGGTGCGACCGTAGAAGCTGACACCAGTTTCCAACGTATATCCAGGGTTCTTGAAGAATCCGCCAACCCGATGAATGAAGAGGCAGTAGAATTGCGTGCAGTTGGCAGGACCGGAGGGGTTGAACGCCATCAGCCACAAGAGGGAGGGGCGAAGGACGTCGACGACTGCTTCGCGCGAGAGCGTCGAGGAAGTAGCTTAACTTTCGAGGATGAGAAACAGGAGTTGGCGGAACGAGATTCAAGGCTCGCCTCGGCAACTGGGATGTCCACCAAACCAGCGGTTCAGAAGTCCAATTCGAGCGGGAAGGGCAAGGCGCGAAGGCGCGGTAGCTCGACTCGTCGCCGAAGAGGTCACAGCGATGGTTCCAGCGGTGCACAAGACCAATCGGAAGGACGATCCAGGGTCGAGTCGACAGCAACAGAAAATTCGGACGAGTTCGCTACCAACGGTTCGATAATCACCAGGCCACGAGAAAACGCCTCCGTCTCTGAGCCACATCCAAATCAACATCGCAAGCTAAGACCCCGTGCGATGGACCAGCAAGACAACTCGCCAAAGATAGAAGCGGCGGCAGCTTCAAAATCGGGCAGTGGAGCGTCCGCTCCTTTGATCGCGACCCCATCAGTGCCACAACAGAGGATGCCGAGCAGGGTACTGAAGACTTTTTGGTGATTCGATTCGGTGTTTTTTTGGGGAAGCCTGTGCGAGTCCACAGGTTAGAAAGTGTGTGCGTGCGCATTGCTGGACGGCATGTATCGTAACGTTTTCGAGTGATCGCATCCCGCTAGAGCGACAAGCCATACCAAGAGGTTTCCAATGCCACAAGGAGTGGTCTTAGAAGTATCTCGGCACGAGCTCTGGCCTTCGTCGAAGTTCGCACCCTCTTGGACGTGGAGCAGCCGAGCAACGAGGTAGGGGGTACCACCACTCGCACTCACGGTATAGTGCGACCCTATCCCTGCAAGTCATGAGATAGTAACGAACGTGGGGATAGGTGCATCTCCAGGGAGGTTAAAGAAGTTCAATATTCTCGTGGATATTTGTATCGCTTTCGAGTTTTTGATGTGGAGGCTAATTCTAGCCCTAACCCTGACGCCAGGGTCTGCGGGTACCTTCGGTGATTCCGCCTGGATGTCGTGGGATTGTTGGGATGTATTTCGAAAGATCGTCTGTACAGTACTCCGAAACAGCAGCTGGTATGAAGGTTGGTCAACCAATTTCACCAAGTGCATTGTTGCCGAATGCGCTGTGAATAAGAAAATTTGGATCGGCCGGGTTGCCTAATCCAGCGCCCGCTCTCCACAGTTCACAGCAGGGCACCACAGAAATGCCTAGCGCGTTGGTTGTGCGCCTGCCTTCCATCCGGGCGCTTCGACTACTCATCGTGTTGTCCACAGCACAGATGTCACCATACGAACTCGCGGTTTCAGCATCTTCGGTCTTTCGCATCTGGACATGATGATGGTTTGCCTATCATTCGCGGTCGGGTTGACACCGGCACGGTACTCTATGTGGAAGGTGGCGAGAAAATATTCAAAAACACGAAAAGTTTTGATGCAGGTTGAGCTCGGCCTAGACCATTACCTGATGGGCTCTGCTAGAGAGTCTACGGCTCGAAAGCGGGGCGTTATGAACGGTCAAATCATCGAGGTAATCAAAACCAGCAATATAATATTTTCCGTATTCCGCAAAAAGTTGAACGGTACAACAAGATACAAGAAGAGTAAAAGCCACACGAACATAGGACATGCGGCAGAGACATCAGGTGTCAGAGACCTTGGACTCGTAATCGACTACTGTACACTTTACTGCAGAAAAACAGTTACAGTAAGATATCCTACGTATGTACTGTACAACACATCACTGGTGGCCAAAGGGGCAGGTTGGGCACGAACTACAACCTGGGGGGGGGAGGTAGGGAGGCCGAGTGCAACCTTGAACCCATTTTTTCTTCAGGCTTGCAGCCCGCCGTGTTCATTGCATTAACGCCACTATCCAAGATGCGGGATACCTTGCACGCTTTGAGCTGCAACCTCCCTACAACTTCTCCCCCCAGGTTTTAGTTGGTGCCCCAACCTACGCACAACCTGCCTTTGGCCATCCGTGATACATACCCCCTCACGGGATCCCAATTCATGGCAGATAGAAGTGTTTTGTGTTTTCAACCGCACTACTGTAAGACTGACGTATTTTCATTGGTCAGCCGGTTAGCGCGGTCGATGCTAATAATAAAGACACCTATATATATATATGCCTACTAGGTACATACCTGTCGATCGATGCAAGCACCACTGTTGCCGTTTTTGAATCGCCGCTGCTGTACCTATATATGAACGTATGAACACTTTCCTCGGCGGTGACTACAGTAGACCACCCATTGACTTACGCATGTATTTAGGCTGGTTCGTGATCATGCGTAGTCTAAACTGTCGTCGGGGACCTTCCCCGCCTGCAGCGGCCTACACTGCATGTTCCGACGTCTAGACTATGAGCGGACGTTCAATAGGTTTTGGGTATTTAATTTTCAGTTTTTGGGACGCAATATTTACTCTATGTAGTGCGTCAGCGATCTCAACCAATGTCAAGATAAATATCAAGAGCAACTACAGACAGTGTAGGGGTACGACCAGAATTGGTCCTCCCCCGCCATGTGGTATATGGTGGGTCTTTTCGGGTCTCACAACTTGACTGACTACACAGACAGACAGGCTACGTGTAAAATTTTCAACAAAGTCCAGGATAAACTCGCGATGGGTTCATGGCTCATGGCGTGTATATGACCTACCTGTGATCCTACTTGATCTTGTGTGTGCGACAGGCTCGATGACACAGCAGGAAAGACAGCAGTAGTTTGCCGGTGTTGGAAACGCGACTCGATCATGACGGGCGTCCCCGTCCCAATCTGGCTTCATCCGGCCTAATATTTGAATATTTGCACTTTGTCGAACACCCGCCCCCGGTGGAGTACATTCCGACGTACCCCCCGGGCGTCGACGGCTCTGATATATAATATGTACCATATGTTGTTGTGCTGACCAGATGTCATGGACAGCTCGTTCCACCTCTGAGCCCTCACTGCCTCGCTCCCCTTTGCCCCCCACCCTCCCTTCTTGGTGTGGCAGAGGGATGGCACTCAAGCTGCAGCTCTTGCTGCTGGTGGGGATCTGTTGCAATGCCGACGGATTTCAAACATCCTGTCTTGCGGCGGGTTCACGAGGTTCCACCTTCAGCCCTACCCAAGGTCGCGAAAGGAGCCGGTGCTTGACTCCGCCGCCAACCATACCAAGTGCAAGTGCGAAGCCCCGGTCAAGATCGGTGGCTCGAGTCAACGCCAGAATGAGTCACAACACGCTGCGCACTGGCGGGTACCTGCGCAGCTTTCGTGGCCTTATCGCACATTTCCGGCAGATTCACCGAAGCAGAAGCGTACCAGCAGCGGCAGCAGCAGCAGCAGGAAGACGGCGGGCTGGATCTCTTCCGCCGCTACCTTCGGTGAGAGAGAGAGAGAGAGGCAGAGAGAGAGAGAGAGAGAGGCAGAAACAGAGACAGAGACAGAGGGAGGTGCACACAGAGAGCTCGTGCAGGATAACTGGGCATGCAGCCTTTCAAACGTGACACAGCATTACTGCTGTACCCGTACATGTGTTGTCAAAGTTGCCGCAATAGAGCGAGTGTGTGTCGTCTGCTGTAACTGGAATACTCCACGGCTGTTGTCTCGCCGCATTGTTCTCGTTCAACAAGTCGCGAAAAATGTTCGTGTCATTTTTGTCAGTCCGAATTGCACGCGTGTGTGCATTGCAAGCTACGGCATATCCGGGCAGCGTGTCCTTGTCGATCATGGTCAAGTGAGCTGTTTGCCAGTGCGGCCAGCTGTGCATCGTGTATGTATGAATGCCCAGAAAACGCCTACTCACGTACACGTAATTAATGTAGAATATCTTCAGAAGGTAATGTAGCAACTACTGCTGTAGCAGCGCGAAGAAACTGCGGTGGAAGGTGTCGAATACTGCTGTGTCTGCGCGTCTGCGTGGCTAACGTTGTCCTTTCTCCGCAGCCAAACCCAAAGCCAAAGTAAAATAAAATCACACCATGTAGAATGCTGATTTAAGACGATGGTGTGTTTGCACACGCCTTTCCTTCATCATAAATTTTGATGTGCAAAGCCCTTCTCACACCTCCAGAGGGCGGGCAAAGAAGTTGAAAAAAAAGACACAGCTACTGTACATGTCTTGCGGGCCAGCAGTCAAGAATCATGCCGTTTATATCTACAAGGCTCAAACATTCACGAAAAATGGGAAGAAAATTGAGAAAATTGGGTTAGGAAACACAACTACGCCGAGCATCCTACAAGTAAATTCTACTATTATAACCTATTCTGGACGGCGGTGGCGAAAGGAGACCATGAGCCCCGACCTCAACCAAAAGTTGTAAGTTATTTCTCCGGGGGGCCTAGTCTACTGTTGTACCTTGTAGTAGGCGAAATCTTCAGCACCACTATTTTTTGTGGAGGAGTGCAGCGATAGTATTCGCTGAGGCTTGGTCGTTCCCGCCTCAGGCAGGGTTTGAGACAACGGAAATTGGTTTGCTTGTTGTGATGAGTGCGGAAGAGGTCAGAAAGGGATCCATAGATGGAAACAAAAACAAGAGATGGAGATTAAGACAGACACGGCGGTTTTTCACGCTCCAACGGTCGCCACGCGAGGCCCGGCAGGGCATAGCGGGGGCAAGCTACGGTCTTGCAGAACACCGCTGTACCTAATTGAAATCTGGATGAGGGTAATTATTCATAGCAGCCTTGTTCCTGGCCTCCCCCGCTGTTTTTCTCTGCATTCACTAACGAGCCTGGGGTATATTCAAGTACTACTCCTGTCAATTCTTATCACGGTGTTGAATAGTAGGCCATGAGCGAGATACACCACCGTGCATGTAGCTTGTTCTTCGGCGTTTTGAAGCGTCGCGAAAGCAAGGGAGCTGTTCGGGCTCTAGTTTCTCTAGCTGACGGCTCTGTCCATGGTCGGTGGAGCTGACCAAGGGGCAAGTGTGTCACCACAGCAGGGCTTGAACACCTGCAGGCGATGGTCCACCTCCCATGGCCTGTCGAACAAGAGCATCTGAAATACGGCAGGGTATTAGGCAGGTAAGGAAAATAAACGGCTGACAATATTCCCTGCAAGTGCGTACGCTTTGTTGAACCCAACGCGGGTTGAGAAGATTTGACGATTCATTCCGACCGTCTGCCCCTGGTTGTTTTCTTTGGTTACAGGCTCGGCATAGCGGAACAGCAGCGAGAGCACAAGCAAGAACAGAACTGGACCAGCTCCCGAAGCACCAGGGTGCTATGCTGGCCCTCCCGGTACTTGGTCGCTTGCTTGGAAACTCGGCGAACCTCTTCCAGGTTGGGGTTCTCCTCGGAACAATCCCAACACTCCTTGCCGGCGTGGTCTGCTTCTACTGGGCATATCAGGTGCGGTCATCGGTCATCTCTGCTGTCTGGGCGGCCCGTACGTAGCACCTAGCCCAGAGAGCATGTGGTAGTGCTGCGATATTTTGAGATCTATGGTTGCCTAGAAGTACCATCGTGGGCGGCAACCTGACTCTCTCTCGGATGTACGTGCAAGACCGGTGCGTTTGGTGCACGTTATCGCGCGGAACGCGTCTAGCCACGAGCAGCTGCTATTTGTATGACATGGCGGCATCTCACCAATGTTATTTTGTTTTTTTCGCCAACCGAGTACGTGAAGAGGCCGTCACTTACCACTGTAGGGCATGGCTACAGCCGCTCTAGAGAACGATCTACTGTAGGCTATGTACCCGATCAAGGCCCGGCGGGTCGGTCGTGTCGACGTGTTTCCTCGAAACCGATGTTCCCTTCAAAGGTCCTTGTTGCTAAAGCTTAGACAATATGCACACCCTAACGATAATTCCCCCCTCTAGTCCACTTTTTTTTAGTTGAGGCTCCGTGGCATGATACGGTACAAGCGTTTAAAACCCCGTCCGTTCGTAGTACCGGGCGGTAGCGAAGAGTTTCGTGTGCCGAGACATGGTGTGATTTGGTTTGCATGCATGTATGCATATGAATAGAAGCCAGCCTACAGCATTAGCGTTCTGTGGTTACAGTAGGTCGTTTCGTGTGCTAACACACCGACCCAGCTGGTCTACCGGGTTTTGCACCTGTACCCATAGCTTTTCCTTTCTTTGCATTATCTTGGCTCAGAGAAGGTCATGCCTGATGTTGTCACCCCGACTAGCCTGACGTCGACCTCGCCCCTAAAATGCTGTTGGCGTTATGGTCCTGTCCGGCTAAACTTTCACCCGCTCCCATGTGGTCATCGTTATCGTTATCGTCGGCCAGGTTATCGTCACGGGTTCCCCAGACTATCAGAGCCGAAAGCTGGCAGAGAACATCAAGACATCCCGCCTGCCGCCAGCGAAGGTGGGACCTGGAAACCCTGGGTTTGTCGATCGACCCAAGCTCCTGGACGCGGACGCGCTGAGACGAGAAGTGCAGTCTCGCTACAACCCGACGCTGCTCGTACACGGCGAGAGGGGCTCGGGAAAGACGGTAGCAGTTCGCCTGGCGCTCCACTCGAGCGAGTCTGTGGTTCACGTCAAGCTGTGGGGGAAGGACGTGTCCCGCCCGCTTTTCGCTCTGGCCCAGGCAATCATCGACACCAGCTCCGTGCAGGTGACGGCCCCGGGGTCAGCGCCGCTTGTTGTGGAGAGTGCGCTGAGAAATATCAAGGGGCGCGGCTGGAAACCGGGGGGGGCGTCCGTGCCCATTGTCGTGGTGGAGCTGGATAAGAGGTGTTCGGATACTGACCTGCTGGGTGTGCTGCTGGCATGCAAGCGCTGGGGTGACGACGAGAACCTGGCCAAGTTTGTGGTCGAAGCGCCTTCCGCGCGAATTGCTCGAGGGCTGCCGATATCGCTGTCGGATCTACGGGTTGAAGGCGTCAAGGTGGGTCTTTTTTCGTTGATTTTCGGCGTTTTTTTGTCGAGATTCCCGGCGCTGTGACGGTGTTGAAGCGCTCTTCGAGTTCGTCACAAACGGTTTTCCTACACACGGTCGCTGCTGGGTATGATTTCTCCGAAGTTTGTTCGTGTGTCTGCAAACCCGTGGAGGCTTTCGGCAATGTCGTGGTCCACTCACACACGATAGGAATATATATGGTACAAGGTTCCCCTGCGGGAGTTAGGTGATTTGCCTCCCGGGGGCGACGCAAGAGGACATGGCCAATCAATGTAATCGCGGTCGCATGGTTGGTCATCATGACGTTCGGTAGTGCCGGTTTGCGTGCAACCTGTATACCTACTAATTTGCCAGGAATTTGCATCATGTACTGGGTATTCTGTATTCTCCCGCCGTAACTTTCCCTTGTGCGCGAGTGTGTTATTTTTTCTGTAGGCTAGCGCTGTCTTTGCTGCGGGTCCTACTGCTGGAAGCCGCTGCGTTTGATCACTTACTCTTCTTGTGTGATCATGTTTCCCATGTTCTGTGAAACTTTACTTTTTCACGCAAAACACCAACAACGAATCAAAGAGACGTCCAACGTGCCCAAGAACAGTCACAGACAGACAGACGTCTTTAGACTGCTACAGTACCACAACTTTTGTATGTATTTGATTTTTTCGACTTTTCGGAATTGAAATTTAAATGACCGCGCTGCCAGAGTGTGTTGTGCGAGAGGACCTCTGTATCGCGTGGTGTGTTTCCATGAGCAACACCAAGAGTCTTGGTCCCCGCGGCGGGTACGCATGCCCCAGTTGCTGTGTGGCAGGGGTGTACACAACAAGGTGTGTACACAACAATCGCAGCAGCTGTGTGGGCGCGTGGGCGCGTGGGCGCGGGGCGCGTGGCGCGGGGCGGAAAGAACGTTCTGGCTTCAGTTTTCATGCCGTTCGAGGAGGCCTCTATGGTTCGGATTCCCAACCCCTGAAAAAAGAGCCAGTCCCAGCGGCTTTAGGCGGCCCTAACGCGCACCACCGGTGTCTCGCGAGCCCCACACGTAACGGGGAATGTGCCGACGGGTCCTTTGCGTGCCATGCAGAAGAAAGTGCCAGAAAAAACGCCGTCCCAGCAGAGAAAAAACGACACGAGCACCAAAAAAGTTGAAATTCTACATATGTATATTTGTTTTTTTGACCATTTTTAATCAGCGCTCACACACAGCATTTGTGCCTTGTAGGAGCTCCAATCCGTGGTCACCCAGAAGAACGGTTCCTCTCCCCCCCCCCCCACCCCTCTTGAGGGCTTGCCTTCGATTTTTAACGCGAGAAGACGGCCGCACTGACTGTCTTCCCTCGAAACGTACACACGAACTATAATAGCGCTTTCCACGACCAGGAATAAATGGAAGAGAAAGAAAAATGAATATACTCGCGTATGCGGTAGTCAAACCCCTGACCGTGGGTGCAGAAGCTTGCGAGGATACCAACCAGACTAGCCCGGGACGAATGGAATAGCCTTGGTGGACCGAGTGGCCAAACAGACGCGTCTCCCTGAGCTAGCTCGCTTCGGGAGGGTCGTTGTATGCACCCGATAGGCCGTGCCGTACCCAAAGAAGTATTGACAAACTCATCAATTGCTACGACTGACTCCAACACCACCCCTCTCCCGTTAACGTGCATCCCCCCGACTTGGCTGTAGATGCGTCCGCTGGCACCGAGCGAGGCGCAGCAAGTGGCGGTCGGATGCGTCCCAATCGCGGCGAGCCGAAATTGGAAGGGAGGGCGACAGGAAGACCTTGCCAAGTACATCGTCTCGAAGGTCGGCTTGGGCATGCTTGACCTCGTGCGTGTTGGGTTCGCCGCCCGAAATGCTCGAGACCCGTTGGCCCTGCACGCGTCGGTGAATCGTTTCGCGACGAGAGAGAGCCGGGCGGCCCGTGGCGGGGTGAAGGCGTTCTTGGTCTCCCTTCGCACGGAGCTGGAAAGGAAGGGGGGGGGGTCTGTTCACGGTCCGGGGGAAGAGGATATCGAGAGGCGGCTGTGGCGGGCTATCGAAGGCGCAGCGGCGCGGGCGGATGGCCGGGGCGGCAAGAAACCGGGACTGGACGAGGTGCTCGAAACTATCGGGGTCTCGGAGCGCGCGTTCGAGTCGGCGGTTAGGGGGGTAGGGCCGGCGTCTCCTCTCTCGGTAGATCCGTTCTCGTACAAGGTGTCGATCCGATCGTTGTTCTTCAGGAACGCGTTGGAGGCGACAGTGGTGGCGAAGGCGAAAGAGAAGGAGGAGCTGCGAAGCGGAGATGAGCCCGTGGAAAACGAGAGGGTGGCCGCTGCTGAACCAAGTCTGTGACCAGCCTCAGAATCAGCCATAGCCGGTGTGGACGAGGCGGTCGCCGTTTGTACGAGTATGACAACAACGTTGGGTCACGAAGTGACTCCTTGTATAGTGTCTATTTTATTTTTTACCAAGGTGGCGTCACCCCAGGCTTTGCATAGAGGGGTGCAAGGAAGTTGTGGTGATGGCTGCTATATGTAGTCCAGGTGTGTCTCGATAAGCCCGCCATACGGCTTACAGTGTCCCGGTCGCGTGATGTTTGCTGGAGTTTTTTTTTTTTTTTTTACTGCCACAGCTCGATGTGGAACGATGTCGGTTTTACCCTTACCCTTACCCTTGCCTTCGTATCGCGAGTGGTTGGTCGCCGTTGCGGGCACGCGCAGTATGTGTCAGCACGACGCCGCTGTAAGACACGTACACTGATACATTGAATACAGCGTCGAGCGGCAGTGGAAGGGTTGATGCCAAGTGTGTTTCAGGCGCACGTGCTACAGTATCTGCCTTAGTACGATTTCTATACTCTGGTGTTGTCCGTATGTAAATAACCCACACAGAGATCGTTTGTCTCCGGCATGAAGATAGTGTGTCCGCTGCTTGGTGAAGCTGTTGTCACCATCGCCGTAAGGTTGGCTATAGAGGGTGCCAGTCGATGTGTTGGGGAGCGAGACACCGCCCTACATTCCTATGCTGGTTGTTCCGGACTCTCATCGGATTGGATGGATGCGTATGCCTCTCTACCCTAGCGGTAGCCTGGTGCGTCTCTTTTCCGAGTTCGCCCGTGCATGTTTCGACAATTTATTTTGGTAGGCGCGCGCCTTCCTGGGCAATGAAGTATCTCTACAAGTATCAAATGCACGCCGGTGTCTTGCAATGTGTGGTTGGTGGTGAATGGCTTGTTTTGTTGCGATGCATGCTTGATTGGTTTTGCGTGCAGGACGTACAGCAGTATGTATTCCGTCTGTTCGTCTTGCATGGCAATGGGAGCGTCTTGACTGACGAGTGTACGTGTACGTCCATCGGATGTGTCGCCCGTGTGAAGGTCTCTTGGCTACTAAGTACCTACGTTCCTAAGCGTATGTCTAGACTAGACTATGGGTGTATTTCCAACGGCGGAAATTGACACAGCAACACAGCGAGTACACTTGACATCATTCTCTGGGTAAGCATGAGACTTGTGTACTCCTTAATTTTTTGTCAAGATGTCTATGCTTGCGTGTAATTTTAGACCAATTTTTCGTAAGTCCATCTGTACTACTTGTATCACAACCAAGACAAATATCGAAAATACTGCTGTTGCTGCTGTGCTACAGCAGTATTTAGTCATGCACAGCATATCGACGATCGCGAATACATTTTTCAGGAACTTTTTGGTTTTCATTCAAAAATGAACATCGCACCTTTGTGGTTGATCTTTTGTTCTACTGCATGCATGCGTCAGTGTACATTTAGTATTAAAGTCCAAAGATTCAGGACTCAAATACGTCCAGTATATGTTATCGCTATCGACTAACCAGTGGGTGTGCCCGCAGCCTCCGACAGCTGTATCGGTTCGATGGGGTGTGACCGTACATCGTTGCTCGAACGGGTTAGTTCGTTGCGGGCGCAGACGGGCAATTTTCCGTCGTGGCATCTACTCTCCGATTCCTTGCCCGCCGAATAGCAATTTGCGATGTGACCGGAGAAGCAGCAGTGTTGGCAACCAACAACCATCATACCCAGGAGAGGGTGCAGAAAGCGCACACAAGCAAGCAAAGTCTTCGTCTGTGGACAAGACCTCCCAGATGACGATCTTTTTACACTCTCTTTACTGCTGAATACAGCGAGCGTTCCATGATCCAGGAGCTTCCTTCACTAACCGAAAGCCAACAACATTGGAAGAAGGCTCTCTATCGGCTCGGTGATTGAGGTGTGCACGCTGCTGTAGGATACGTGTTTCCCACCTACAATAGAAGGGAGGTTTCCTTTCTTTCTGTCTGCCCGGCAAACCAATGTATGCTGTGCTGATTCGAAGGCAACATCAGGTTTGATGTGCTTGACACATGTTGGCAAACAATCGGCCATGTGTGTCAGGTTGACCCGCAAAAAATGCTTCTTGAAAGATGGTTGCAATAAAAAGCTGTGCGCACATCTGGAAGCACCCCCGCCACCCCCACCACCCCCACCGCACCGACAGATCTCCACCCACCGGCGCAGAGACCAACACCGACTTGTGCGACCTCTATCCACCAGCGCAGAGCCCAAAAGTTGTGCTGCAAGGAGACTCTGCAACGAGTTATCCGTCTTTTGTCAGGAGACTTTGTCAGGAAACTGCTTTATCGAGTATCGAGCGCGCGGTCACGATGGGTGGAGCAAAGGGTGGAATTAGCATTGCCATCATGTTGCTCGGCGCTCTCATCACCTTGTGCGCATCTCATCCATTGTGCTACGTGGATGACCGTCCAACTGATCCGGACGAAATCCTGGAGTTCTGCCCGGAGGCTCAATCGGGTGCTTGCTGTACGGGTACGCGGATCACATGAGTCGGGATATGTACTGTATGCAGAGCAAGAAGTTTGAATTTTGCCGCCGCGATCGATGCACACATAGAGACACGTTTTCGTCTGGGCTGTGTACTGCTGTGGTCAATCTTGGTCGGTCTGTCTGCCTCTGTCTTCCTGTCTGTTTCCCCTCTCCATTCCCCCATAACAGATGCCGAAGAGGCTTTAGTGCAGCTACGCCACGAGGCCGTGGGCAACCTTACGGGAGACTGCGACGACCTCTACAAGCAGGTGAGCTTGTTTGTTGTTCGGCTGCTGTTTTGTTCGGCTGTTCAGACTTCAGACCCCTGTTTTGTTCGTTGCTGTTGTGTAAGCGCACAGCAGTTTACAGCATACTTGAAGTTAGACTGCAGCTAGACTGCAGTTATGCACACTTGCGTAGATGTCATTGAAGGTGTTCTACGCGCACTCCCTGGCATTGCACACACTTTACAGGCGTGTGCTAAAGGACTGCCGTGATAAACGTGACCTGCCTCCTGTCTCTCTCTCTTGATCGCTCGGGTGGAGTACTGGGGACCGTTGGGCATCGGGAGTGTGAGAGGACTTTCGCAGCAAGCAAGTTTCGATTTTTTTTGTTCTTGTGATGCATTTGTGAATACCAAGGTGCTCTCTCTCATGGTGCAGCGCGCTACGGCCGTTGGTGCTGACTGCATCTTCATGCAGCGCATTGCGTAGACCTATGGAGGTGTACCCCCTTGGCCCTGCATCGAACCGCCACCGCCGTTGCATGTTGGTTGTGGCTCTCTTCTTGGCTGCACACGTATCACCAACGGAAAGAATCTCAAAAGAGACACCGCCCATCTACATATTCCGAACCTCAAGTGCGTCGTCGGCGTATCTACTCTTTTATCACCCTTCGACATAACCACTTGATACTGCTGTACACCCACACATCTTGGCCAAAGGGGGCGTTGGTCAAGCCGGTATCAGGCATGAGCAACACTGCAAATATTGCACCCTTTGCGCTCCCGATGTAAAAGTGTTGTTGACTCAACTACATATGTACTTCCAAGAGGGGTGCCTGTACAGAATTCCGTCGATAGTCGAAAGCAGTTCTTTCAGATTAGCCCGTTGATCCGTGTTGACGTACGTGTGGACAAGCCGTGACAAGGCAGTTTCATTTTTATTTCAGCATTGTCACCACCAGTTTGACAGAAAGGGAAGCCAACGAACGTGGCCCCAAACAAAATATGTGCCCAATTTGACCTGTTCTTTGACAGAATAAGAAGTAAGCGCCCGTTCTCTGCCTGCGAACCACTGCGGCCGTCAGCCAATTGACGTGCGGAAAAATGCGTGGTACATCGCCAAAACGTTCGTACATGGAAAGAAGAATAGACCTCGTGCCGGAACCTCTTATGGCCCGAGGCTTGTATCTTATTTTCTCTACTTTGTATGGCAACCTGAAAGCGACCACATAGGTTTTACTGCTGTACATGTAGGCTTCTCCACTGAGCACCCGTTTTTATGGCCATGTTCGTAAACTCATGTTTTTTTGAGTCTGAAACCTCAAGTTCCAAGTTGTCGTCCTTCACTTTGGCGACAGTCCCCCCATTTTCGTGGTGAGATGTGTGTCTAGCCGCTAACTGTATGTTAATCAAAATGAAGACTGATACCCGTTCGATACGACAAATAACCGTACTTGTAGTCGAAGGGGATGGATTGAAAGTCTGAAAGTCTTTACAACCTTAGCAAGCGGGAGAACACGAACACTCGCTAATGGTGTTCCTGAAGTAGCACACAATCAAGCACTTTTTGCTAACGACTGGGCGGCGAGAGGGTTACACGAGCATGTTACTTGATGAATCGGAACTGTTTTACCCATCCGAAAAGTCTGGATGCTTCATGGTTTGGTGAACGCCTGGAAGCAGGAGGTGGGAGACCAAGACCGCTGCTGTCATCTTTGATGCTCCCGATGCGTTGGAGTTGTAAAGCCCCGCTCGCACCTCCGGATGTGTGTAGGCGGAGCTGGTGCTGACTGGAAAAATACAAACACCCGCGACACATCTATCATCAATCCTGCCCCCTGCCTGTCTTACCAAATTGGTCAGTGCTATTTTGCCTTCAGTTTGGCTACTGTATTTCCTCAATTTCATCGGTACAGATCGCCGAGCAAACACGAGGAAAATGAACAGAGTGAATGTCCCATGCTGCCCCAAGTGGGAGCAGTACTTCAGTGTGTTCAGCCTCGCTCGGGTCCTGGACAGAAAGAGCAGCAATCAGTGCTGTCGTGAGTACTTCATGCTTTCTCACACACCCTTACTTGGAGATGGATTCGCTCCCCCTGCGAGCAGGCAGGCCGCCCGGCTGCGGCAGCTGATTATTGCGCGGGCGTGCCCGTAATTACTGGTCGATAATGATTGATACTTTGGACAAAAATATGGCATACAGAAGCTGGACGCTGCGGACGTTTTGGGCAGCAGCTATATATGTCGTCACGTCACGTTCCTCCGAGTGAAGACAACAACGATATATCGTATGCATACCGTGAGGGGCGGACAGGTGGCACCCCCTCTAGACCGACGTTCAAAGAGCTCGAATGCTCCCCAACTGAAGGGGTACGGAAACAACCCGATTGTTCTACCGCAAGCCCTCGATGAGGTGCTTCCAAAACCACATTTGTTGGTGTTGGCCAATCAATCTTAGTTCTAGAGCAATCGAGCCTTTTTGATATCGACCAAAGGGAGGTGCCATCTCTCCGCCTCTTGCGGTACCCGTTGTCTGTGTCCCCCTCGCTGTCATCTCATGCTCTAACCAATCTCATCAACGTCAATTCTCCCCCAGGTGGTTTGCGGCGTGTGTGGCTCGTACAGTGGCCACCTGTACGAACGGCTCGGAGCTGAGCTCGGTGTTCTGGACGGCATGACCATGAAGAGCGATTTCTGCGAAGAACTAGTGAGCGCGTGCAACGAACAGATCACCTTTCCCACCTACGACGGTGGCGACGACTACTGCACGAAGCACACCGGCGGTGGGGATGACCAATTCTGGTCGTACCCCTACACTGAATGTAGGTTGCTGATATTTGCGCATTGCTTGAGATCGCTGAAGCACTGTATACATAGGATGTCTTCACCTTTCTGCTTCAGTACATGTACGTTTAGCCGACGCAATGCGTATTCAGAAGTTCCTCTGACACTTGCTGTCTCTGCTGCATGTCCTTTTTTTGTTCGTCGCTTTTACTCCTGTACCTTTCGACTTGCTTGCGGAATACGGAAACATGGTTACCTCGATGATTTGACCGTTGATAAGCCTCGCTTTCGAGCCATAGATGATTCTTCGGAGAGCCCATCAAGTAGGGGCTAGACCGAGCTCAAATTGCATCAACACTCGTTCGGTCTTGCTCGGATATTTTCCCGCCACCTTTGAGATGAGTCCGGACTTGCCCACCTCATCTCTCTCCGTCGACTGTCCCGTATACAAGCACAATGCGACGGCTTGGTACAGTAGGTGGTCTCCCGCGTAGCGAAAGCGCTGCACGTGTACTTACGAGGCCGAGAGACTACCAGGTAGTGCAGATGTTGGATTGCTCTCTTTTTTCCCACCTTAAATCCCCCAACGCAATTATTAAATCGCACGGTTCGTTGCTTGCCTCACGCGCTTCGTCTCAGTTTTTCGCTTGCGGTGCTCTTGCTTGCAACGAAATTTGCTTGCCTTCATTTGCTTGCAATCGTTCGCTTGCTAGATGACTGTGACCGACAAGGGCAACGTACTGTGGTTCAATGCCATCCCGACCGCGCCGCAATTCCTCTTGAGGCAGTGAGTCAGACCCGCTGGTATCACAGGATCGTGCCACAGCTGTAGGTATTTTATCACCACACCGTAACGACCCTGCTGCTGTTCCCCTCTGGGCACTCCTCTCGTCAACACCTACCCCCCCCCCCCCCCCCCCCCCCCCCCTAATCCCTTTTCCCCCCTTAATCCCCTAAAATTTTTCCCTCAAGTC